ACGTCACTCTGACTCACTTGTATATGACGTCACTCTGACTCACTGTATATGACGTCACTCTGACTCACTTGTATGTGACGTCACTCTGACTCACTTGTATATGACTTCACTCTGACCCACTTGTATATGACGTCACCCTGACTCACTTGTATATGACGTCACTCTGACTCACTTGTATATGACGTCACTCTGACTCACTTGTATATGACTTCACTATGACTCACGTGTATATGACTTCACCCTGACTCATGTGTATATGACGTCACTCTGACTCACTTCTATTTGACGTCACTCTGACTCACTTGTATATGACGTCACTCTGACTCACTTCTATATGACTTCACTCTGACTCACTTGTATATGACGTCACTCTGACTCACTTGTATATGATTTCACTCTGACTCACTTGTATATGACGTCACTCTTACTCACTTGTATATGACTTCACTCTGACTCACTTGTATGTGACGTCACTCTGACTCACTTGTATATGACGTCACTCTGACTCACTTGTATATGACGTCACTCTGACTCACTTGTATATGACGTCACTCTGACTCACTTGTATGGACGTCACTCTGACTCACTTGTATGTGACGTCACTCTGACTCACTTGTATGGACGTCACTCTGACTCACTTGTATGTGACGTCACTCTGACTCACTTGTATATGACGTCACTCTGACTCACTTGTACAGACTTCACTCTGACTCACTTGTATTTGACGTCACTCTGACTCACTTGTATATGACGTCACTCTGACTCACTGTATATGACGTCACTCTGACTCACTTGTATGTGACGTCACTCTGACTCACTTGTATATGACTTCACTATGACTCACGTGTATATGACTTCACCCTGACTCATGTGTATATGACGTCACTCTGACTCACTTCTATTTGACGTCACTCTGACTCACTTGTATATGACGTCACTCTGACTCACTTGTATATGACTTCACTATGACTCACGTGTATATGACTTCACTCTGACTCACTTGTATGGACGTCACTCTGACTCACTTGTATGTGACGTCACTCTGACTCACTTGTATGGACGTCACTCTGACTCACTTGTATGTGACTTCACTCTGACTCACTTGTATGGACGTCACTCTGACTCACTTGTATGTGACGTCACTCTGACTCACTTGTATGGACGTCACTCTGACTCACTTGTATGTGACGTCACTCTGACTCACTTGTATATGACGTCACTCTGACTCACTTGTACAGACTTCACTCTGACTCACTTGTATTTGACGTCACTCTGACTCACTTGTATATGACGTCACTCTGACTCACTGTATATGACGTCACTCTGACTCACTTGTATGTGACGTCACTCTGACTCACTTGTATATGACTTCACTATGACTCACGTGTATATGACTTCACCCTGACTCATGTGTATATGACGTCACTCTGACTCACTTCTATTTGACGTCACTCTGACTCACTTGTATATGACGTCACTCTGACTCACTTGTATATGACTTCACTATGACTCACGTGTATATGACTTCACCCTGACTCATGTGTATATGACGTCACTCTGACTCACTTCTATTTGACGTCACTCTGACTCACTTGTATATGACGTCACTCTGACTCACTTGTATATGACTTCACTCTGACTCACTTGTATATGACGTCACTCTGACTCACTTGTATATGACTTCACTCTGACTCACTTGTATATGACGTCACTCTTACTCACTTGTATATGACTTCACTCTGACTCACTTGTATGTGACGTCACTCTGACTCACTTGTATATGACTTCACTCTGACTCACTTGTATATGACGTCACTCTGACTCACTTGTATATGACTTCACTCTGACTCACTTGTATATGACGTCACTCTTACTCACTTGTATATGACTTCACTCTGACTCACTTGTATGTGACGTCACTCTGACTCACTTGTATATGACGTCACTCTGACTCACTTGTATATGACGTCACTCTGACTCACTTGTATATGACGTCACTCTGACTCACTTGTATGGACGTCACTCTGACTCACTTGTATGTGACGTCACTCTGACTCACTTGTATGGACGTCACTCTGACTCACTTGTATGTGACGTCACTCTGACTCACTTGTATATGACGTCACTCTGACTCACTTGTACAGACTTCACTCTGACTCACTTGTAAATGACTTCAGATACGCCCAAGGTTACAAGGAAGTGGTGAGGCCATGGTTGACAATGTACGGTGCGAAAGAAGTTCAACACACACACAGACATACGAGGCCAGGCGGTGTGAATTGGCTCTCATACTAATCCCGATACAAATTTCCTTCCGACATTATGAAGCCTCCGGAACTGTGCACTTTTAAATAATCCAGATTGAAAAATAATGTCTTTGAAACTGCTTTTGGTGTCTATATTGTGGTCCTTCCCTCCCCCACACCTCCAATTAGCACGGATGGCTACAGTACGGTGCGAAAGAAGTTGAACGTACCGGGGACTGGGTCAAGCTGGCACTGCCCCACGAGCACGGGGAACTGGGCGGTCTTCTCGTGTGTGGGGAGGGCAAGGCGGGATCCGGGGGGTGCACAGGCGTGGAGTAATTGACGGCACACGGGGGGATGGATTTGTGCAGAGTTAAGACTCGGCCACTGAGCAATGGGGAATGATCCCAGAAAAATCCCACCGCTGAGTCGGGTGCGTTCCACTCGGCGCGAATTCATTCGGTCGCCCGCCGATCTGAGTCGAGGCTGAAATGACCAAAATGCAGCAGCTGGCTTACTGGCCTAAGCCGGAATTGCCCAGTTGTTCCGTCCAACCCTGGCGGTGCAGAGATAAACAAAAAGAATTGTGATTGAACGGACCCACAAGGGCAGCGTAATCCTTTTAACACGAAGGAGACTCGGCAACAGATGCTGGAGTGTGAATGCCGATGGAATGGGGTGTGTACATTTGCAATGATACACGTTACTTATTCAAACTATGCCGCGATTCTGACCCTGCGATAGGATTGTTGCGCAAACACCAATAACAAAACAACGCAACGCGTTCGACAATAGCACTGCCTTAAGCACATATATTTTCTTATTTCATTTATACCTACGTGACTTTACCGAAAGAACCAAGTAATACATATATTTCCCTTTACATGGCCACAATGCTATTGTCGAACGTTATGTACGAATGTACGCGCATGTGTGTTGAACTTCTTTCGTGCCGTACGTAGCCAGCCGTGCGAATCGGAGGTGCGTGGGAAGGACAACAAACTTCACGCAAAAAAATCAGTTCTAAAGAAATGACTTCATCAATCGAGATCATTTCAAAGTGCATTGCTCCAGTGGTTTCCCATTACCGGAAGGAAGAGCGCATCTGAAATGCGTGCTAATCGGAGGTCTGCTGGGTCTTGGCGTTGTCACAGAGGGATCCCGCGTGCGGAGTTTCCCCGTCACCTCTGCGGGGTCTCTGCGGCACCAGCGTATGGAGTCGCGCATTTCACGCTCGTGGGATGCGGCGCGTGACGGAGAGGAGGAGGAGGAGCGGTGTCGGTCCCTGTCCCCGTGTGCCCTCGGCAGGGCCCGGTACCCATGGTTAAGCGAATGCGACATTCGTGTTGCGTGTCTGTGTGTGTGTCTCTCTCTCTCTCTCTGCCTGCTCCAAGGGTAGGGCAATTCGCCCACACCATGGGTCGGCAAGCTGCGGCTTCAGAGCCGCGTGCGTCTCTTTGAGAACTGCTTCGCGACCTCGTTGATTAGACCCACCGTCTCGTGTTCACAGGCATTGAGGCTCTTGAAATATGGCGGGGGTTTTTGTTTTTGAAATTCGAGAAAAATGTCCCTTTATGAGACCTCCTTTGCCAGAAACAAGATATAGGAATAGGTTTTACCCTTTTAACTGGCACAAAAACTGACACCTTTATGCTCACCCCGAGCCCTCAATGCTCTGATAGTGCGCTGTTTTTGAGTTGTACGCCTTTTGGCGTCTTCTGGTCCAACACCAATGGAGACTAGGCTCTAAGAAAAGCTGTCTCGGGTGTGGACCAATTAAATTCAAGGACAGTGCATATTATTATCAGAGTTGTCTTTTTTGTTTGCATTTTGACTGCTTGTGTTGTGGTCATTGCAAACATGGTGCCTTGAATAAAGGTGTCAGTTTTTGTGCCAGTTAAAAGGGTAAAACCTATTCCTAAAAATGTCCCTTCTTGGTATTTTGGCTGCCGACTCCTGGCCAACACTATACTTCTCGCTATTCACGGGGACATTTGACCGTACTTCACCACGCTAGTCAGCGAAGTTGGTGAATGGGTGGGGTGGGGCAGTACTGCTTCAGAGAGGAATTGACTTTGGTTTTGTTGTAGTCTCGGATCTAAATTAAACTTTATATTTTACCAGGTTAGGCCCACTGAGCTACGTAGCTCTTTGTCAGAAGCGACCTGGCTATCACAAATGATAGCTCAACAAAGTGGCTAATCACGTGGAAATGTATAGCACCCAAATACTCTTAAACGCGTGATGTTGATTCTAAATGTGGAGAGGAAAACCCAGAGCACCCGGAGAAAATCCACGCGGCAACGGGGAGAGTGAACATGCAAACTCCAAATACAGCAGCAGGCGTCAGGGTTAGGATCGAACCCACGACCTCCTGTATACCAGGCGAGGTAGTTAACATCTCCTAGCCACCGTGATGATGATGATGATGAGAGAGAGACACGCAAACTCCAAATACACAGCAGGCGTCAGGGTCGGAATCGAACCCACGACCTCCTGTATACCAGGCGAGGTAGTTAACATCTCCCTAGCCACCGTGATGATGATGAGAGAGAGACACGCAGACTCCAAATACACAGCAGGCGTCAGGGTCAGAATCGAACCCACGACCTCCTGTATACCAGGCGAGGGAGTTAACATCTCATAGCCACCGTGATGATGATGAGAGAGAGACACCGCAGACTCCAAATACACAGCAGGCGTCAGGGTCGGAATCGAACCCACGACCTCCTGTATACCAGGCGAGGGAGTTAACATCTCATAGCCGCGAACGGATCATTGCCAGGGTCGCGCCGTCTCACCTGGGCGTGTCGATCCAGATGATGTCGAGGTGGCAGAAGAACACGCACTCGCGGTCCAGCACCGAGGCGCACGAGCAGCGCTTGCGGCGTGCCGCTGGCTGATGGGAGCGCAGCGGTGGTGGCGATGCCGACGGCGGTGGCGGTGGGGTCCCCGTGGGGTTCCAAGGCCAAGGTTTCTCCGATTCCTGCAGCACCGCTGGGTCCCTGGGCCACACGAACCCGGTCTTTGGCTCCGGCGCTGCATAACAACAACAACAAGAACGACACGTTAATGGAAGCTATGATGATGATGATGATAATAATACAATAATAATTTACATCCCTTTGTTATTCAACTGCTGGATGATGGCCTGTCCATGCCAGGGGATTTGTTTGACCACACTTTGCCATGCTGTACAGTGCAGGGTTGCTGGGAAAAGCACAGGGACGTGTAGAATTTAACTTGCCAACGATGTTCCAGTTCATTTGAATTTCTACACGGATGGTCACGTTCAGCCAGTTGCTCGGCTATTTTACACGGCAGATCCGTGGTTCGTGAGCACAGGGCAAACAAAGACAAAAAGATCACTCCTGCAGAGAACGAGTTGCAGGGTCCTTCAGGAATATTGCACAACTAGCCAGCGAGGTGTTTGATGGCCGTGAACTAAACACCTGCGAATCGCAAAACCATTGCAAATATGAGAGCAGGTGGTACCAGAAATGTTTGGCAGAGATGCGAGTATTCTTTGTCTGTTGGTCTCATAGGCGTATGGGGCATCACCGTGGCGAGATGTTGACTACCTCGCCTGGTATACGGGAGGGCCTGGGTGCGATCCCGAGCCTGATGCGTGCTGTATATTTGGAGTTTGCGTGTCTCTCTCTCTCTCTCCCCGTGGTCGCGTGGACTTTTCTCCAGGTCCTCCGGTGTTTCACTCCACATTTAGAATGAACGTGACGCGTTTAGAGGATTTGGCTGCTATGAATTTACACTCGATAAGCCACTTCGTTAAGCTATCATTTGTGATAGCCAGGTCGCATCTGAACAAGAGCTGTATAGAAGCTCAGTGGGCCTTACCTGGTAAAATAAAAAAAATGCTTACGCAGTACTTTTAGGTTGTTTAAATAAAGAGGGGGAGTGAAGGGAGGTAACCAATCTGGAGATGAGCACCATCGAGATTCCAGAAATGTGGTGCAGTAATGTGGCAACAGTTTTTTTAATTCTTACCAAACAAAGTTTCAGCAAATTCAATGTTTGAGGAGGAAAACAGGAGGCACTTCTGATGCTACAGGAGGCCGTTAGAGGAACCCAGTGGTCCGTTAGGTAATTATCAGATTCGTTTACGAGCACCTTTAGGATGAAGGCAGCACAGCGATGGTTTTCTCCAGATATCGATGGGGGGGGGGGGACAGATCTGAGTGAATGTGTCGGTTGTAGTGATGACTTCTATAGGGGGGGCGTCAAAGGCAATGCGGAGAGCCGAGTAGTATCACGGATTCAGAAGCGTGGTGCTTGTTTGGTGTCACAATGATTGAATATGGGCAGAATGATGGCGTCAACTATTTTCAGACGCAGTAGTCGAGGTGCAACACGGCGTTTGTTTCCGTATTGGGATCCAATATTGGCTTTTATGTTATTGACCATGTGCTCAATGTGGCCCTTTAAAGACAGGTTCGAGTCCAGCATGACGCCGAGATATTTAAAGTTGTCTGCCTGCTCAATAAGCTGCCAGTCCGGAGCCACGATGTGTGTCTGTGGCGAGCTACGTTTGGCCCCGGTATCACACTCAAGGTTGGCATGTGCGTAGTGGAGGGCGCTCACCACTGAGCCATCGCGATATGATCTCGCGGTTTCTAATCCTTGAATCGGTTCTCTCCTTTCATCACTGAATCATGGCGTCAAGCCGTGACCAAGGATGTAAATTATGTGCAGAGTCAACAGCTGGTCTCACTTTTGTGATGTCCACAATTATTCCCTCTGGTCTCGAAGCCTTCATCTTTGTTCATTCTGCGAAGGGCAGCGGTCACTGTGACGTGTGACATCTGGAACATCCTCCTCCTCCTCCCTGTTCCTGCTCCCTCCTCCTCCCCGTCCTCCCCCCTCCTCTGGGTATATGATTAATTTGCAGAGTGGTCCAGTGGTAACATCTGTGCCTCACAGCAAGGTCATAGGTTCGACTCCCAACTCCGACGACTTTGCGTAGAGTTTGTATATTGTCCCCCTGTTCTGGTGAGCGAGTGTGTGAGAGTGTGTGAGAGTGTGTGAGAGTGAGCGTACTTTGTATTATCTCCTCTTGTTAAAGAGAGTGTGTGAGTGTGTGATGAGTGTTGTGGGGTTACTCTCTAATACACCGGTGTGCTGTACTATCAACAAATTGGCATGTTTTTTTTAAGTGACAAAACTTACTAATTGGCTGTTTTGCGTGGTGGCGGGTTTAATGCAACTTTATATTTACGCCAAAAGCATCTATTATGGATAATATTGGTCACGAAAGCCATCGTGTTAAACTGATAGAGTGGAGTTTGTATCTCTCCTCCTGTTCTAGTGTGTGAGTGTGTGATAGAGTGGAGTTTGTTCTAGTGAGTGTATGAGAGTGAGCGTGTGAGTGGAGTTTGTTCTAGTGAGTGTGTGAGAGTGAGTGTGTGATAGAGTGGAATTTGTATTATCTCCCTCTGTTCTAGTGAGTGTGTGAGAGGGAGCTAGAGAAGAGATGGAGTGATGTGGTACAGGAGGACGTGGAGCTGAGTGGACTTGCCGATGACTGGTACCAACGGTGTCAAGATCGGCCTCTGTGGAGGAGGCTCGTGAAGGACGCCGCTACTGGGCAGTTGGAGGCAGTCGCCCTCCAACAACAACGGAGGGCGGAGGAGCGACGCTCACAACAACGAGCGGAGCGCCGGGTGGATAAAGCACAGCAGGTTGGCACAGTAGAGGGCACAGGTGGTGCATCAGCCAGTCATCTCAGTCAGTCGACCCGTGGCACCTGCTGGGTCTGCCCCGTGACCTCCTGCCAGCGGGCGTTCGACACTTCACGTGGCCTCAAGGTGCACATAGCCTGGCACAAGCGTCGTGGTGACGTCACTGCCACTTAGTGGCGAATGGCGGTTGTTGTTGTGTGATTGAGTGGAGGTTGTATTTTCTCCCCCTGCTCTGCATGGGTTTCCTCCGGATTATCTGGTTTCCTCCCATAGATAATAGTCATACAATGTAACGAGTGTTGGCCAAACGTCCGAATGTTTGAAAAGTTAACAGCTAAATTGCTCAAGTGGTGATTACACAGGGCGGCAAGATCGCCTCCCCCACCCTCCTGCGAAAAACTTTGCCAGAACCCTCCTGATTAAAAGTCTTCACTCAAGTGAGGTTTTCAAAAAAAATGCAACGTGCGAAGGCATCGCGTATTGTACGTAACCGCGCACGAGTGTGTACGTTTTTTGTCCGTATATGCGTGTTGGAACACACTCCACGGGGCCGAAGTCGCGGACTCGTTGGCTTGCATCGGAACAGTGCGGGTCAGAGAGTCGCGTCGATCACGCGCGAATCCTCCGTGCCACCTTCACAGGCAGCACCCCGCTTGCAATTGACGGTCGTAAGACCACGCACGCAAGTTGAACTTCTTCATCGCCGCACGGGGTCAACTCTGCCACACCGTGCAATTGTGAACCATGGTTCCACGTGCAGCCGCGACTAATGATTATTTCACACACATGCCAAGTGCACCCCCCCCCCCCGCCCCTCTCTGTACCTCCTATTGTGAGGATAGGGTTACCTACGCTGGTGGAAAAGCAGGGCCTGCCGATCGTGAGAGATTGCGTTCAGATACTGGCCAGAGTCCCCGAAGCATTATCGTTCACGTCGCCCTGGCCCAGTTACATTTGCGTCACGTGGACCGGAGATGGTCCCACTATGGATCCGAGTCGTGGACGCTGGCTGCAGAGTGACCTGAGGATACCGGATGCGCCTCCGCGTGGCTTGCCAGTGACGTCGTATGCAGGGCGGGTGGGTGGAGCGTGACGCGACGGGGCCTGAGAGAAGTTGAAGCGCTGATCAGAAGTCGACGACTCGCACTGTGGGTGGAGGCGATTTGAAACGGAACGGGTCCGCACCTCCCGACGGAGCCCTGAAGGTCACCGGGAGGCCTCGCCGAGAGCACCGAGCTCGCCGTCAACGTCACGGTCGCCCTGGCCTAGCGTGGGTCCGTCAAAGCGACTCTTTGAGTCGGTCGTCCGAAACTAAACAACACGTTCCGTTCTATTGAGCTGGTGGTCGAGGCAAGGCCGAGCGCTTTTTGTCAAATCTGACCGTGAAATCGCCAGCGATTCTCCCGCTGTTGTTGGTGCGACTCTCTAGGGTTTGGTGTTATAATTTATGTAGTTTATTGTTTAAAAAATTCGGTCACAGTCCCTATGATCACTGTTAGATTGCAATTATGGCTTTTATTTTGGTGATTTCGAAAACTTTTTTTGGTTTGGCCATGTTTTTGTTTACTGTAGTACGGAGTTAGACTGATGGCCTTAATCTTGTGGTTGTTGTTGTTGTTGTTTGACTTGCATCCCACTGGGATTTTTGCACACAGAGTTGGTGTACGGTGCTTTTTTCAGGAATATTTTGATGTTTTTTCCCTGGATTTTAGGTTTTGCAGTCACATAATCACTTTAAGATGTTTTCTTGTTCATGTTTTTGTTTGTTGCTGTTGCAACACAGGGCTATACCAAATAAATGGAACTATGAAACTATGAACTATGACTCGGGACGAGGTCGTACGCAGAGTAAAGACAGCAGGTTGACGCAATCCATTTTTAGAATTTTAATTGGAGATTTAAATTTATCGCTTTCTTTGGAAAAGGTGTGTTTTACCACTGCCAATTTTAATGCCTAATGTTAAACTTTTTGTAATTCCTTAATTGCTAAAAACGTTTAAAAGATCCATTTTATATTTGAAATTATACGATTTCTTCATTTATTTATTCATTCTTATTATCCATTTATGGTTCTCTAATGTGTTGACTTCTGTCACGGAAACGGTGTGTGGTTTTCATTGATGAAACACGACTTAAGAGCTTCTTAGCTCACAGGGAACTTAAAAATAAACTTGAACTGAACTAAAATAAAGTTAACTCCGAGCAAACTGACCTCTCGGAGCCGTTAACAGAGACGGCCACAGCCAGAGGCTCGATCGTGCCTTTGGGATCAGAGCCCAGGCGATGAAGGCGCTTTACAGGGCACGTGACACACCTACAGCAAGATTTACACCAGAGGTCATATCTAGAAATACTGTACGAGTAGTTGTAGCTTCTCCCCGTGGCTCTATTGTTGCTGTGCGTGAGTGTTGCGGGATTGTGAGTGAGCGAGTGTTCCTGATTTCCATGGCCATGTCAAGTTAAAAGCAGCCGTTGATGGTCACAGTCAATGGACCAATTTGTGTCTTAGAAACCTCACGTTCAAAGGGCTCATTATGATCCAGCCTGAGCTTTCACTGCATCACCCCGACACTCCACAGATCCCTCCACTGGCTTCCAATCCAATCCCGGATCACTCGATTCGCTGCCTTCGAGATCACCCACGAACTTGCCGCCGTCCAGCCCTCCCCCTCCCATCTCACTCTACTCCCCTCCGAGCACGTTTTCGCTCCAGCAACCAAGGTTTTCGCTCAGTGGGAGGCCGCTCATTCTCCCGTTCTCCTCCGCTGTGACCAGGGCTCTGGAATTCGCCAATTCCTCACAGCCCCCGGTGCTGCTGGCTCCCTGCCCCTTGTTCCGATCCAGTCTCATAAACCTTTCATTTCGACCTCTGCCCATGAATCTCTCGGGGCGCATCTTTGAGTGGACACCTGCATGGGGTGGTCGCCACCACGCCCGCCACACTGGAGCCAGGGGAGAGAAGCCCACACACCTGGGAGGCCGATCACAGCAGAGATGGAGTCATGGGATTAGCTCATACTCGCGCCGGAGTTCGGACGGGATCGCAGATGTCGCAACGTTGCAGGGAAGTGGCTGCGAACGTCGTGAGCTCCTCATCCAGCGGTGGATAAGCACGTGGTTGATGATGACGAGACCGCCGGGCGGTGGGTTTGGGAATTTGAACTCTTGACCGATCTGAACAAGAGCCGCTCGGCGGTGAGCATGCCGACTTGGCACGCGACAGCAATTTTTACGTTCACTCGGCAGCGATGCGCAGCAGCAGCAGCAACAGCTCACGGAGACCATCACGGCAAAGCGATCTCAACTGAACGTGAATGCTGCAACGCACTTAGTGTCTTCCTGTATTAGTCATGCGATGTTACCGCTAAGGGATACACTTACCAATGCTTGCCCGCAGTAATAAACAGCAGTGCTAGTACCGTAGTAACATGCGGTCATTTGTCAGTCCACTCCTGGATGAGGACCGTCCCACGCCGTGCAGGGGCTATTTCGACCGTACTTCACCACGCCGGCCAATGAGGAATGGTACAAGAGGAGAGCATTGACATGGGAGTGTAGCAGTAACGCACAGCGCAACAAGCGAATTTGCTGCACTGTCCTCCGCTGCCCACCGCCTAATCCACGGCCCATGGCACCCGTTGTGCATGGTGGTCGCTCATCCAAGAAGCAATAGGGGTACCAGCATCACTCGAGATGAGATATTATCGTCATCGCCACGATGGCCACGACTTGTCTCCATCATCACTGCCTTCGCCATCATCGTCATCAATACCAGAGCTTCATTTCAGCCGGCTCAGTAACCCTGGAAAAAAAAATATGCCAGCGCCCGGCACGCCACATCCAGTACACAATCTCGCTATGCTATGCGCTGGTGCTACTGCTAGTCACGTGCCTAGCTACTTGCTCAGAAATTAATTATCTGATGAAAACCACACACAAGCTTCGTCGTCGTAACGGCTGCGCACCAGCTGGCATCTACCGCAAATATCATCATCGTCGTCATCAGACTCATCAGCATCACTGACCGCACAGAGTCGAGGCCAGGAGCGTCGCGAGGCAGCAGCAGATGACGCGGAGCTCCATGGGCTGATCGCCGTTAGTCGGATTGGTATCGGGTGGTTCGTCTTTAAGGCGATGAGTCCGGGTTTACGGGACTCGCAGTGGCGCGGCGCCGTCTGGTTGATGGAAGCCGCGTGCGCACACGTGCAGAGCCGCCGGCGGCGTGGTGGCTGTCTCCTCCGTGTGGCTGTCTCCTGCTCCACGTGGCTGTCACCTCCTCCACGTGGCCGTCTCCTGCTCCGTGTGGCCGTCTCCTGCTCCGTGTGGCCGTCTCCTGCTCCACGTGGCCGTCTCCTCCGTGTGGCTGTCTCCTGCTCCGTGTGGCTGTCACCTGCTCCACGTGGCCGTCTCCTGCTCCGTGTGGCCGTCTCCTCCGTGTGGCCGTCTCCTGCTCCGTGTGGCCGTCTCCTGCTCCACGTGGCCGTCTCCTCCGTGTGGCTGTCTCCTGCTCCGTGTGGCTGTCACCTGCTCCACGTGGCCGTCTCCTGCTCCGTGTGGCCGTCTCCTCCGTGTGGCCGTCTCCTGCTCCGTGTGTCCGTCTCCTCCGTGTGGCTGTCTCCTGCTCCGTGTGACCGTCTCCTGCTCCACGTGGCCGTCTCCTCCGTGTGGCCGTCTCCTGCTCCGTGTGGCCGTCTCCTGCTCCACGTGGACGTCTCCTGCTCCGTGTGGCTGTCTCCTGCTCCGTGTGGCCGTCTCCTGCTCCACGTGGACGTCTCCTGCTCCACGTGGCTGTCTCCTCCTCCACGTGGACGTCTCCTGCTCCACGTGGCCGTCTCCTCCGTGTGGCTGTCTCCTGCTCAGTGCTCTGTGGCCAGGCAGGTGTGCGCGGGCCGTCAAAGTGTGAGTGTGCAGTGAGCGCTGCGAGCGAGCCAGCCAGCAGCGCAGGGAGGAGGAGACGAGCTTGCATGATCTCCCCCCCCTCCCCACACACTCTCATCTCTCGCAGGTTAAGCCCACCCCTCGCAACCTGAGCTGGGAGACACCTACCGTTTTATCTGGATTATAAGACGCACTTCCACACACCCCCCCCCCCCTTCCTTATGTCTTTTGATGAAAGAATGTGGGGGTGCGTGTGCAGGAGACCAGATTTGTGTAACTTTATTAACACCGCGCACGCATTTGGAGCGCGTCTTATTTTCCGCAGCGTCGTATAATCTGGATAATTCCGGTGCTTGTGTAGCGAGTCCAACTGAGTCGCAGACGTTGTTCCTTTTAGAGGCAACACATTCATTTGTAACACGTGACACAAAGGGGTAACTGCCCCTTCACCAGATACAGCCTAGGGTGGTGGCCACTCAGCTAGCTACCCTATACGGAGGAGTTTCAGCTACGAAGGGTCTGACCCTCACTCGGGTCCCGACCACGTGTCGATGCCTGTAGAGCTTCCAGCTTGAGACGAAGAGCTTCAGGACGTAGAGCTTCCAGCTTGTAGAATGCAGCGACCCCGGTCCCTCTCAGGGACCCACCTTATATCCCCCGACGGCCAGGGCCGCTCCGCCCTTGGCCCCGCCCGCCTTCTGGAGGCTTCTAGCTCCCTCCCGATCCCTCTCGAGAGCTCTCCCCGGACACGTGACCGCCCCCTAGTCCCCTCACCTGGGGGGCCTCTCTGTGGACACTCCAGATCACGTGTCCTAGGGGTCAACCAGAGTGCCATGGCCCGGGGCAACCCTGCCCTTGGGCTGACACTCTCCCCCCCCCCCCCCCCTCGTGAGAGACTGCACGCTATGCGTGGTGCCTGCGCTATCCCAGCGTGATAGGGTAGTGTGATGGTGTGGCGTGATGTTGTGGTGTGTTGGGGATGTTTAATGGTGTGATGTGATCGTTTGGCGTGATGGCGTGGCATGTTTGATGATGTGATGGTGTGGTGCAGAAGGGCCATTGCCTGAAGCGTCCTTCTCGGGTCAACCTCATTCCTACGGCCGGCACTCCCACACCCTGTCCTGCAGGGCTGTCACTGCACGCAAAGCGTGGTGCCACCCAGCGCTATCCATCAGCGATGACCGGGCCCCTCTAGGGCCGGTACTACACCCACACCATAGCGGTGTCCGCGATGTCGCTACACCGCACGCCGTGCCTCTCTCGGGCCGGCACTGCTGCACAGTGACATCCCGCGATGTCACTCCACTTGGATTGGACCTGGTCCACTCCCGATATCGCGTGACGTTGGGCAGGCCCAGAGTGACCATAGGGCAGCAGTCCAGAGGCCAAATGTCCGGTGGGCCGGTCCATTCCGAGGGCCGGTGGGCCGATCTGTGTGGGGAAATTGCAAATGTGAATAAAGCAAAAAAAAACAACATGTTTTCAATTAAAATATTTTTTCTCTCATTGTTTTTTTTCGGTAAAGTCACGTATGTAGAAATACCATAAAATGTTATTAAAATAAATCAATCACGACGTTTCGACCGCAACATAAGCGGTCGAAACGTCGTGATTGATTTATTTTAATATAATTTTATGGTATTTCTACATACGTGACTTTACCGAAAAAAACAATGAGTAATGTATGCAGTCACGAAAGCTTTAATTATTTATTAAAATATTTTTTCCTCTAATGTGTACGCTTTCATTGCTTATTTACGCCCTCAGTTGGCATTAAGTCCCCCATATTCAGGAGCACCAAAGATTATTCCTCACTGGGCCCATTTGTTTTTTCGACCCAGCCCAAAATGGGCCAATAAGATCACATAGCAATTTGGTCCCACAGTGTTTATGCATGCCTGGGGCCCAGTCCGTCACTGAGGTTGGGTCACTTAACATAGGGGCCCCGCGTTGTCAAGATCTCTACATCTGATAGTTTATAGTTAGTTAGTTCATAGTTCATTTATTTGGTATAGCCCTGTGAGCCATTCGGCTCTTGAATCGGGTGCAACCGCAACAAACAAAAAACATGAACAAGAAAACATCTTAAAGTGATTATGTGACTGTGCAAACAGAAAATCCAGGAAAAAAAACATCAAAATATTCCTGAAATAGCACCGTACACCAACGCTGTGTGCAAAAATCCCAGTGGGATGCAAGTCAAATAACAACAACAACCACAAGACAACTAAGATTAAGGCCATCAGTCTAACTCCGTACTACAATAAAACAAAAACATGGCCAAAACAAAAAAAAAGTTTTCGAAATCACCAAAATAAAAGCCATCAATGCAATGTAACAGTGATCATAGGGACTGTGACCGAATTTTTTACAATAAACTACTAACTTCCACCGAAACGTCGTACACAATTGTGAAATTTGTGCAGATTGCTCTCCGTCACACCGGTGGTGCTGAAGCAGTTGGCAAGTTTGTTCGACGTGACCACTTTGTTAATTGGCTGTGTTGGGTGGAGGAGTGTTTTTACAAGACACATTTTTTTTCTTACGCAATCTGATCCAAAAATCTATCATGCGAAATAAACGCTTAAAGACCCAGGCAGTTCGAGGAGCGTGGAATGCATGAAAACTTACTGTGAATCAAATTCCAGCTCTAATTCAAATCCTACTAAACATTAAAACATCTCTAAATTTTGATTTAAAGCTTTCGTGACTGCAGTAATTCATATTCTTAGTTTTTTCGGTAAAGTCACGTTGAAGAGAAACAACAAAATAACAAAATATATAAAACAATAAAAAATTATCACGACGTTTCGACCATAACTCAAACGGTCATCATCAGGTGTGTCGGTTTGCATACATTTATTTTTAAAACGGTACATTTATTTATTTATAAAAAACGTTGGCGTCACGCGCAGCGATTGGCAGTTTGCCCAGGACTAGTCCATCTATATTTTTTTTAAAAGAGGAGGGGGGAGACGAAATTTTTTATAATGTATGCTGTCTGAAAGCCACTGTAAGCGTGAACAATCAATCAAGAACTGAAATGATTTATCAAATCTTTCCAATGATTGCTAAGATAGAATCCATCTTCTCGGTTGAAATTGTCTCTGTGCTTGTATATGTGGATAGCCTCATGAACGAATCTCTCATGGAAGCCAATGGCTCACATGCCATTGACTTTTCCAAAACGGAGGTTCTTTGTAAGCCAGTGGAGACCAGGCACCAATAAAAGCCGCCTCGGGCGTGGACCAATCAAACTCAAGGACAGCGCACATCACCATCAGAGCTGTCTCCCTTGTCTGCACCCCGACCGCTTGTGCCGTGGTCATTGCAAACAGAAGACGCCAAAAGGCAAAGGAGGTCTCATAATGTAAATGCTCACCCCGAGCCCTCAATACTCTGATAGTGCGCTGTTTTTGAGTTGTACGCCTTTGGGCGTCTTCTGGTCCAACACCAGTGGAGACTAGGCTCTGAGAAAAGCCGTCTCGGGTGTGGACCAATCGGGTTCAGGGACAGTGCATATTATTATCGGAGTTGTCTCTTTTGTTTGCATTTTGACTGCTTGTGTTGTGGTTATTGCAAACATGATGCCTTGAATAGAGGTGTCAGTTTTTGTGCCAGTTAAAAGGGTAAAACCTATTTCTATATCTTGTTACTGGCAAAGGAGGTCTCGTAATGTAAACTCTAAATACATGTTGATAATTAATGTGGAGGGGGAAAACCGGAGGACCGGGAGAAAAATCCACGCGACCACGTGGAGAGAGAGAGAGAGACATGCAGACTCCAAATATGCAGGCATCGTCAGGGTCTGGATCGAACCCACAAACTCCTGCATACCAGGCGAGGTAATTAACATCTTTCTACCGCGGCGCCATGCTAAACGTAGCTGGCCGGGAATCGAACTCGGATAACCGAGTGCTCACCATTGGGCCACTATTCCCAGCCCACGATAAGAGAGGGCGTGATTGTTGTGAGGCTCCACGTGGCCCGACTTTGCCTCGCGTTAATTGGCATTAAATACGGTTAACATGCTCTTGAGTGCTTGTTAGTGCAGGGCAGCCTCGCTGGTTCTCAACTCTTCTAAAGTGCTCGCCACAAACGAACCACAACACCCGGCCGATTTCGTCTAAGTGCATCAACCATCATCACGCGAACTCCGCTTATCCTCGCGGCAGCGGCAGCAGTAGTAGCGGCGGCGGCTTTGGGCGAATCATTGAACAAAGATGACCACCGCATTGCGTGGCGCGTGCTTTCAGACGCCTTGCTTCCGCGACCGTCTGGAATGTTCTTCCGATATTCGGGAGCCAATGGGAGCATTGCACCTTTAAAACTACACCGAGACATCATTTTGTGTTAATTGCTTTTTTTTGTGTTTAGTTCGTTATCCGTACCCCTGCACCTCCCTACTAACACGGTTGGCTACGTACAGTGCTAAAGAATTCTAGATTTAAAGCTTTCGTGACTGCTAGGATCCATACTCTTTGGTTCTATTGGGTAAAGTCACGTAGGTGAAAATAAAATAGCAAAAAAATCACGACGTTTCGGCCACAACACAAGCGGCCTTCATCAGGTTAAGGGACGAGACTGTCTGGAGGACAGCGCTGGAGTGGGAGAAGCCACGCTTAGATCACGACCGCGATCACAAGCTTAAAGGTCGTGATCTAAGCGTGGCTTCTCCCACTCCAGCGCTGTCCTCCAGACAGTCTCGTCCCTTCACCTGATGAAGGCCGCTTGTGTTGTGGCCGAAACGTCGTGATTTTTTGTTATTTTATTTTCACCTACGTGACTTTACCCAATAGAACCAAAGAGTATGGTGCTAAAGAAGTTCAACATTCGTGTCCATAGCTGTCAACCCATACGGTTTACCCGTATTCTTGTACAGGGAAATTGAGTGTTCAGGTCCATACGGCGTACAGCCGTATCAATACGGGCAAGGAAAGTGTATATTTGTTGTGTTTCCCCATTGTGATGGGCCTTTGTAGGATTAACGTTAAACTTTATTAGGGCACGGCGTGACCAACAAAGGTTTGAATTGGTCTGTAATAAGGTGGGCACTGATCATTTACTACTATAATGAGCCAAGAATGTCTGTGTCCCGCGCGTGACGTCACTCCACGTCGGCCAGTCCCCCTCATTAATAATCATGAGCAAGTGACGTCTTCCAGACACCCCCCCCCCCCCCCCATTAATAATAATTAGCGGGTGACGTCACTCCACATGGGGAGGGCGAGGCGCCTCCTCCCCCCTCCTCGGCGTCAACTCACAACCCTCACTACAAAGGCAGAAGAACCCTCACGTCACGTGATCTCACCCTCACTACAAAGGCAGAAGAACCCTCACGTCACGTGATCTCACCGTCACTACAAAGGCAAAACCCTCACGTCACGTGATCTCACCCTCACTACAAAGGCAAAACCCTCACGTCACGTGATCTCACCCTCACGACAAAGGCAGAAGAACCCTCACGTCACGTGATCTTACCGTCACTACAAAGGCAAAACCCTCACGTCACGTGATCTCACCCTCACTACAAAGGCAAAACCCTCACGTCACGTGATCTCACCCTCACTACAAAGGCAGAAGAACCCTCACGTCACGTGATCTCCGTAACGCTGTTGAGACATCAAAGTAAAAATGACGTCGTGATGAACAAGGGATTATAATCCTTTACAAATGAAGTAAGTCTGTGTGTCACCGCGGCCTGACAAATTGCACACGAATGGATGCAATGAATATATCACGTCGCGCTCTGATTTTCGCATGAAAGTTTAAGATTTACTATAATACACCCGTCCCTGGACGGGCAAAAGGCGATTTGTCATTATAATGGGTTTATATATATAGGAGTACATACCTCCTATTAGCACGGATAAACTTGGTAAACGATACCAATCTCCTAACCACTGCGCCACCGCTCCCCGTGACGAAATATCCACGAGACACATTCATGACGAGAGGCTCGCGCGTGCCATTAAATATTAACGTGAAAATTAACGGGTGTGTGAATATTATTGTCTTAGTTCTTTCGGTAAAGTGACGTAGATGGAAAATAAAAATAATAAAATAAAATTTAAAAATAAAAGCAAAAAAAACCCCACGATGCTTCGATCGCAACACGAGCGGTCTTCATCAGGCGGAGAATGTGAACATGCGAATATCCACGACTTGTAAAAGATGTGATTCCGGACATACAGTACCCTGGCGTCTACAAACTAAGTTGCCTCTGTGGTAGTAGTTACATTGGAGAAACCAAACGCCATGTCTCGGACCGCATTCGTGAACACAAAGCAGACCTTAAACACGGTAGGACCAACACCTCGGCCGTGGCAGATCATTGTTATAATTCAGTAGGCTCACATGACATTGACTTCTCCAAGACAGAGGTTATTAGCAAGACATCTGGCTACCATGAGAGATTCGTTCATGAGGCTATCCACATATACAAGCACAGAGACAATTTCAACCGAGAAGATGGATTCTGGCTTAGCAATCATTGGAAGGATTTGATTAACTATTTCGGGTCTTAATTGATTGTTCACGCTTACGGTGGCTTTCAGACAGCATACATTAATTTTTCGTCTCCCCCCTCCTCTTTTCAGAACATAGATGGACTCTTGATTTAAAGCTTTCGTGACTGCAGTAATTCATATTCTTAGCTCTTTCGGTAAAGTCACGTTGAAGGGAAACAATAAAATAATAAAATATATAAAACAATAAAAATTCTCACGACGTTTCGACCATAACACAAACGACACCCCCGATGACGACCGTTTGTGTTATGGTCGAAACGTCGTGAGAATGTTTATTGTTTTATATATATTTGATTATTTTATTGTTTCCCTTCAACGTGACTTTACCGAAAGAGCTAAGAATATGAATTACTGCAGTCACGAAAGCTTTAAATCAAAATGTATTAATGAGGTCTTGCATATTCACGAGTCTTTGAATATTAATGAGGGTGTGAATATTCATGAGGGTGACGTCACGCGCGCACACCCCCACCCCACCCCCACCCGGCGGCCTTCCCCTACAGCAGCATTGTGAGTTGAACCCCGAGCCTGTGAAAGTGTTCCCAGGCGTGTGCTCGGTGTGTTGCTTGTTGTTTGGTTGTTGTCCTGCTGTTGTTGTTGTTCCTTTCTCCTCGGCGGCTGCGTGCGGGTGTCGTGCGGTGCGGCGACTTTCACTGAGCCGAGAGTCAGCGGCGGCGCTGTGCAGCCTGAGCTAGGCCGCGTGTATCCTAGCGGCCCCTCATCTCGTCGTTACAGCTCCCGAGGCTGCCAAGGCAGGCATCCAACCTGGGATTCTATTCTGTTTTAGGATTTATTTAGGATTTCTATGGGATAAGCCGCGTGGGTGTTGTAGGTCGCTGTGGGTTACGCGATCAGCAGAGGGCAGTGGCGACTTAATTGGACTGCGCGCCCCTACACGAATTGCACAAACCCAGTGTGGTTACATCTTTGGCGAAAGGCTACGTTAGTTTTTCTTTCGTAAAGATGCATTTTATTTGTTTTCTTCATACACGTGGCCTGTTTTTCACAGTGTAATTACAAGCGTATCAGTGTGGCGAAACAGCACGTGTATTCAATGCAGATGTGATTTCCCCCCCTCCCCCCCCAGTGAGTAAAGTCGCATTTGAGAGAGATTTGTTTGCTATCACACCAAGCATGGCAGGATTAAGGCCTTAAGCATTTATGTTTCGTAGGCTTTCATTGATAATTCGCTCCAGTTGGTACTGCCCAGCTAAAGATGATTAAAACAAAAAAATGTTATCCTATCAACCATAGGACGGCAACACACTGCCTGGCCTTACCTTGCACTGCTACCCTCTGTTGAGAATGAGATTTTTGCGAAAAACACAATTTGAAGATATTGCTGCTAATTTTGCAATGAAAACAAAATCTAGGAAAGTCCATCTCCGGTGTTCATTTCCTACCTCTTGAAATTAACCCGATTGACATGACGCTGCCGCTTTGTACATACACTGTGCCTATCCTTGCTATATAAATATTTATTCAAGAAGAGATCTAGATTGCATTTTTTTTATCATACAAAACAACAACAACAAAATCCGTAAAAGAGGTTTTTGGGTTCGAACGCGTGAAAATAAATGTGTCGGTAAAAGCCTTGCGTGTTAAACCAAAAAATAACATTGTCAAAATGTGTTTTCGGAGGTCCTTGGCACACTGCTTACCCTGGCCTATTGGATAATACGGCCCTGACACCAAGAGACAGACAAGACAGAGAGACGGAGAGAGTGAGCGCGCCCAAGTGTGCGATGAGGTCGAACTCGTGTTTGCAGACGTCGGCGGAAGTCAGTGAAGGAGGGCAGGTCGGTCGGTGGGTTCTATGTATGTACTGTAGGCAAGGATAGGCACAGTGCACTGGAAGGACAAACTAAACAAAAATCAGGTCTAAAGAAATTAGTTTTCAATCTAGATTTTAAAACTCCAGTGGCTTCCCAATATCGGAAGGGAGAGCGTTCCAGACGGCCGCAGAAACACATCTGAAAGAGCCTGATGCGTCTTTGTTCGATGGCCATCTAAAAGCTGCTCCGAGGATGGCCCGAATTCGCTTGATGGTTTATGCTCCTTGAGATCAGTGACGTATTGTGGTTCATTTGTGCGAACACCTTGCGTGTAATGAGCGCGACTCCTTATAATAATGTATTCGTTCGGCAAACCGGAAGCCAATGCAACTCGGCGAGCATCGGACGGACCTTGCGGTACCCGTCACAACTCCACGTGGCCGTGGTCTCACGGCGTTTGCGGTGCTTGACTGCGTGTGCGTGCCAGAGCCACGATGTCGACACGAGGCTACAAGGCGACGGTGCGGGACCGCGAGGAGCTCTACCGCCTCATCATCAGCCAGCTGCTGTACGACGGCCACGCCGCCATCGCCGCCACCCTCATCGGCGCCGTGAACCTGGGCCCCGCCGTGCCGCCCTCCGAGAGGCTGCTCCACCTCGCCCGGATCGGTAGGCTCAACGCTGGGAGGCTCGCACGGCCCTGCTGCTGTACTCCTCTTGCAGAGATGCCTGTAGATGTGTGTGTGTGTGGGGAGCGGTGGTGTAGCGGTTCGCGTGCTGCGCTACAAACCCGGCGACCCGACTTCGATTCCCGCTCCCATCCAATACCAGTGACGATTATCTGAACCTGTCCTGGGCCACCCCTAGGTCGACCGAGCCTCAAATGAGTACCTGGTGCAGTGTATAAACATCACCACTGGGGAGACAAAGGCGGTCCAGTCTGGTGCTGGCCACCCACCCTCGTGTGTTGTGCCGGCCTTCATAGGTACTCACAGCTCTTGTCCCAACAGTCTGTTAAGGCTATATAGGCGATCTTTGTTTTTGTAGCCTGGCAGGAGTAGATTCCGGCTTGTCAAGAGGTAGAGAAGACGTACGTACAAGTATTATGTTCATTGGAATGTTAGTACATTCACAAGGATGCTTACTCATGGATGAATATGGATGAATATCCCTCATGTATTAAATTGCGTAATTGTGATTTGTTGATATGTATATAATATGAAAATTACATGCTGTTTTTCTGAAAGATAATTGAGCCAAAGTGCACAAATGAGACATTAGAATCGATTAATGAATAGAATCACGGTTGTGAAATGGCTACATTTAATCGAATTTGTGCATTTAGTCGTCAAAATAGGCTCGGTCAGTTATGTAGAAAAATAATTAGACCGAAGAAAAATATCAAATATTTTGTGCTTTAAATTTGGAAAGCTTGAGGATCATTTTTTAAAGATGTAAATTATGTAATGCTATGCAACAACTAAAATTTGAGATTAAAAGGGAACAATTTTAAAAAATATTCTTTGGGTCTTTCGGTAAAGTCACGTAGATAGGTTCAAAGAAAATAACAAAAAACTACGACGTTTCGATCGCAACACAAGCGTGTTTTTTTGTTAATTTCTTTGAACCTATCTACGTGACTTTACCTAAAGACCCAAAGAATATGAATTCCTGCAGTCACGAAACCTTGAAGTCAAAATTAAAAAAATTATTTGTCATCTTATTCCGCGATAACCTCAAATAAAGGACGCAGATCTACTCATGGTATTTCTTTCGCACTGGGTCTAGAACAATTGTTCATCCTTGCAGGCCCTCAATGCACCTCTCCTGGTGAATGTCTCTACCAAGTTGACCTCAGGCACTCGTGCTCATTTGTTATAATTGACTGGTGCAGGGAAGGAGCAAGAGGACACCAACCCTAGCCGGCCGGTGGGGCGTTCGGACATGGTGGCACCGGGGACGGGGGTGGACCTGGAGTTCGACGCGGATGTGCAGACGTCCTCGCCGGAGGCGTGCGAGTACGAGACGTGCTACGTGACGTCGCACAAGGGGCCCTGCCGCTCCGCCACCTACAGCCGCGATGGGCAGCTCATCGCCACGGGCTCGGCCGACGCCTCCATCAAGATCCTCGACACCGAGCGAATGCTGGCCAAGAGTGCGACGCCCATCGAGGTCGAGATTGCGGTTGTGTGTGTGTTAAACACAAGCGTTGTGCAGGCTGATACCTGCCCCGCTTCAGACACGTAACAAGACACGGCGCATTCTTTATCATTTGGTCATAGGGTTATTAATGTTGATGTTTGGTAACGAGTGGTGCGGTTGGTATGAATGGTGGTACCGATAATGGCGATAGCCGTGCCTGTGTTTGTAATTTGTTGACCCGCCCATGCTCTTGCTGACCCACCCATCCTGGACATATGTGAAAAAAAGAGCTTCATAGCTCGTAAGATTTCTCCAGTCTGAATAAACATTCTCATTGTGAATGGCGTCGACGGTGTTGGTGTGGTGCGGACGCAGGTGATGATGAACGAGACAGCCCAGCAGAACATGGAGAATCACCCGGTGATCCGCACGCTTTACGACCACACGGATGAGGTGACCTGTCTCGCCTTCCACCCCACCGAGCAGATCCTGGCCTCCGGCTCACGCGATTATTCGCTCAAGCTCTTCGACTTCTCCAAGCCGTCCGTCAAACGGGCGTACAAGTCGCTGCAGGCAAGCGGCACTGCACCTCACTGCATCTCCGTACAACGCTCTACTGGGTAGGGTCTTCGGCACATGGGACAATGCTGACCGACACAACAGATGGAAATGCGCTATACATCATAGCTCAGTCTCACGTTGTGTAGCACCCCGCTTGCCGTTACTTCCCATGAGTGGTGGCTTCACAAGCAGCCGTTGAGCTTTGCCTGTCTGTATCTCGGTGGGTCTCTGCATGAGTCTATGGTTTCTCTGTGTGAATCTATGGGTCTCTCTGTAAGTCTGGGTTTCTGTGCGAGTCTATGGGTCTCTGTGAGTCCATGTATGTATGTTGAACTTCTTTCGCACCGTACATAGCCAGCCGTGCGAATCGGAGGTGCGGGGGCAGGACAACAAACGTGACACAGAAAGCAGTTCTAAAGAAATTTGTTTATCAATCTATATTATTAAAAAGTGCATAGCTCCAGTGGCTTTCTATTACCGGCAGGAAGAGCATTCCAGACGGCCGCAGAAGCGCATCTGAAAGCGTCCGATGCGGTGTACCGTCTTTGGTCGATGACCAGCCCAAAACCTGCCGCTGCCGCCAGGATGACCGCAGCTCACGTGATGGCCTCCTCCTTGCTGATGTTTCCTGCCCTCCAGGAGGCGGAGGTGCTTCGTTGCCTGGCCTTCCACCCAGCGGGCGACTTCCTCCTGGTGGGCACACGGCACCCGACGCTGCGGATGTACGACGTCACGACGTGCGAGTGCTACGTGTCGCCCAACCCCGCGGACCAGCACACGGACGCCGTCACGGGTGTCGCCTACAACCCGACAGCCAACTCGTACGTGTCGTGCAGTCGCGACGGCACCATAAAGCTGTGGGACGGCGTGTCCAGCCGCTGCGTGGCCACGTACGACCGCGCGCACGGCGGGGCGCCCGTCTGCTCCGTGGTCTTCTCGCGCAATGCCAAGTACGTGCTCTCAAGTGGCAAGGACTCGATGGTGCGCCTCTGGGAGCTGTCCGCAGGGCGCGCACTGCTCACCTACACCGGTACGTGTGTCGGCGCGCACGTGTGCGCGGAATGCTTTTGGTGCTCGATTGCTCATTCTGTCGTTTTACCTGTGAAGGCATTTTTTGTCGCACTTGCGCAAGCCGCGAAACAATTTGGCTTGTTTTTCGTACGGCGTAAAATGCAAGACGAAAATAATCCGCTTTTAACTTTCAAAATGCTCATGCCGTAGCCTCGCATCGCCCACTTACATGTTACCGTGGCCGTTTCTTTGGCACGGCAATGTGTATGTGAAGTTTAATGGCTTTATACAATAATTTTAAACATACAAATACCTTTCTCCTGACAACCCCCGACGCACCCCATCCATAAGGCGCTGGCCTCAGCGGGAAGCAGACTCACCGCACACAGGCCGTGTTCAACCACACGGAGGATTACGTGCTCTTCCCCGACGAGTGGACAGTCAGCCTCTGCTGCTGGGATTCCCGCACCACGGAGCGCAAGAACCTCCTCTCGCTGGGCCACAACAATGCCGTCCGCTGCCTCGTCCACTCGCCCACCAGCGCCGGCTTCATGACCTGCAGCGACGATTACCGCGCGCGCTTCTGGTACCGCCGCGCCGCTACCGAGTGAGCGAGTGAACGGGCGGATGGCGCATGCCCGCTTGCCTTACACGCTAACGAGCAGACACAACCATTTAGCGGCTCTCTCCGAACTTGACATTGGCCGCCATTGGCCCGGCATAGCTTTTCTAGCGTTGTTCTTTTTTTAAAGATGTTATTTCGATTTTATTATTATTATCTTCCACTGGACCTGGCCAGGTGGAATCAGCAGCAGAGTGAGCAGATTTCAATGTGAAGGTTTTCATTTCAAACCCTGGTTCGGGGTTGACTCAGCCCATCATGCATCTTAGGTCAATCAAGAGTGTGGATATGCTCACTCCCTCCTACCATGGGATTGTGGCATTTCTATCACTGGCTCATGGCTGTAAACAGGATATGATGACCAACTTAATGCTCTTGAGCAAGGCATCATTTGAACTTGTTTTTCTTCCACTCTTGTAGTTAAGCAACAAACCTTTGAAGCTGCCTATGTAAGATTACAGCTGTTGCAGAGAACGTTGATGTGTGTATGTTGAACATAGCCAACCGTGTGAATCGGAGGTGCAAGGGAAGGACAATCTAAACACAAAAAAGCAGTTCTAAAAAAATGAGTTTTCAATCGAGATGATTTAAACGTGCATAGCTCCAGTGGCTTCCTAATATCGGAAGATCGTTCCAGACGGCCGCAGAAGCGCATCTGAATGCGCGCGATACGGGGACCTTGTTTGTTCGATGGGTAGCCAAAAGCCGCTGCGAGTTCGCGTGATGATGGTTTGTGTTCCTTGATTAGAACGGCAAGGTATCATGCTGCGTAAAGAGTGGTTGTATGTCATGTGTTCGATATCATTACACATTTTAGCTCTTGTGTCTGAGCCAGACTAAATTGATTGAACAGCAAAATTAAATGCAGATTGTTTTTGTTCAGTTATTGCTGACCATTTCATAAAATTATCAGTGGTCTCTGCTGCATCCTCTTATAATTCTATAGGCTGATTTTTCCAATAATACTCAAGTCTGACGTGCGGTGATTTCAGATGCAAGTTCTGTGCTCATCTATTCAGAATCATCTGTATTAACTGAGTTGAAAGAGACTCCCCTACCATTAGGACATGTGTAATCTGGGCTCAGCATAATGGTTGCAACCACATTTGTTGAGCCAACTTCATAAGTGTTTGGTGTAAAGCACACTCCTCGCTGATGACGTTGGTAACATTGTTGATTTGTGGCTTATAAATGATGAAATCACGTTACCATGAACATTTCAGGTGGCTTAACAAGTGATTTTTACAAGACTCGGCAGGAAACGCATTGTCACAGAAATCTGTGATTTAACGCTTACAAACACAACAATTTTATACAAAAGAAAAATTACTGTGAAGCCAGTGATGCCTGGGATTAATTAGAAATGACACTTGACCCAAGACTTCACCAATGCATATGTTGTGAGCACTGGGCTTTAGAGCAAGTAACGGGTAATATTGGCCTCATCAAAACATATCTTTAGGTTTAGCACAAACTCTGCAGTGGGGCCAAGGATGCCGGGTTTCTTAGCGCCCACACATGGATGTCTAAACAGTGAGCAGAGTAGTGAGCAGTGTGTTGGTAGGAAATACCAGGCCGTGACATGGAGTTTAAAACATGTGCTGTGGCAGGTTAGTACTTGAACATGTTCTGAAGATCGTGCGAATGCAGTATATTTGTCCCTATTCCTTGGGCAAGAACAATTTTTTTTGTTCCAAGAAAGTATCGCATTCAGCACAATTCATCTATGGGTATTGTATATTTTTTTACATTCACATTGTATGTATTGACCAAACTCAAAGAACTGTCATGTAAAAATAAAAGAATGAGTTTTACTGTCTGTGCATCCGGCCAACAGTCCATGCCCATTTGCGTAAAAGTTTGTCGGCATTTCTAAGAGGTCATTAGCACCAGTGTCCGTTTGAATGTGGACGTCTCTCCAGCACGAGTGATTGTGTGCACAACCTGTTGTTTCATGTCTTCTGCATTCACGTCTCTACATTTCTACAAATGGCAGCGTCTAACAACGGGTCTGCATTAGACAAGCGACCTACCCACGATTGTTAAACGTGTGTACAAAATATTGTTCACCTGTAAGTACGGCTTTAATGTCAGCCAGTCTGGTTTGGTGACCCAGAAGACATTCTCCATATCCAGCACACGACTAGTTATTCACGTGCCTACTCCAGTCCACCGGCAAACAGGAAAATATTTGGTGAGAAATTAAGCCCTGCCTGCAACCCTTCATGAAACGTAATTGTACCTGTGCACGAGCAATCGTTTGCACGTGAACATGTCCATAGAAGAGAGTGCATGAACCTTCAACAGAAACAGTTTTGTTTTTACGTGTGCATGAGGTGGCCTTTGTGTCGGGCTAGTGCTGTGGGGAGGTACAATATTCCCTTGTGATTCGCAAGGGACACGTTTCAGAGATGCTCATGAATAGCAAATTTGGTGATTTGCCTACAGAAATTATCTTAAATACTTAAGCTATTAAATACATAAAAAGTATAACAAAAAATATAACATTTGTTGGAATAAATGAGCATGGAGGCAACGTCTACAGATGTTTCTAGTCCTATCTCGTACGTGCAACGGCTGCAGATGCTTCGAGAGGTTCTCCATCTCATCACTTTCTCATCACGTAGAGTTCCAGACGCGATGTGTGGACAGCAAGCTTGTGAATAACGAGGGAATACTGTAATGCCACTGTGAAGCTGTGCTCTAGGTGCTGCTCTGTCTCATGGGGCAGAGGAATTGGGGAGCTTTAGTGGTGCCCCAACTAGTGGTCTGCCAGGCCCAAGTGTGAAGGGATCCGCAGAACTCTTGCAGACAACCATTTCTTTTTTTCGATTTAAAGCTTTCGTGACTGCAGGGATTCATCTTCTTGGTTCTTTCGGTAAAGTCACCACGTAGAATGGAAGTCACGTAGAAGGCTTACTTGTGTTGTGGCCGAAACGTCGTGAGAATTTTATTTTGTTTTATTTTTATTACTTTGTTTCCATTCTACGTGACTCTACCGAAAGAACCAAGAAGACATTTATTCTTTGTTTCACAACTTATTTTTTACACTGCATGGTCAACGAAAATATTAAGGGTTGACTGTGTCCATGAGTCCGGGTGTCTTTGGGAACCATTGGGTAGAAGATGGTGAAACTGACTGGACTGACCCACCGAAAGAAAACCCAGACTACAATGCTGCTAATGATACTCATTCAAGCTTTATTAGACAAACATCACAGCATTCATTCACATCATATAAAATATTAAAGGCATCTGAAAATCCCAAACAGTAATTAAATTGATTTAATGGACAATGGTGGCCATTTAGCTTAGTGGTTCACACGTGTGAGATGACAGGCCTGATACTTAAACCTTTCGGCTGCTGTCAAAAGATTAGATCTGACTTCACAACTTGGCTTGGGAAGGAAGAGGTCCGTACCATTTCTCTCCTGAGTGGAAAGAGAGTAATACAGTCACTTGGATTGTTATTTTTATTTTATATAGCCGCTATATGCACTTGGATCAACACACTGCACGACAAAAGGAGCAAGAGCCAAGTTAATATTGGGTTTATGCACATGTAGAAAATTATAATCACTGAAGCAACGAGGAGTCCTAGTGACCTTCAGGGTAGATTAAACGAAGCATGCAAGGTGGCACAGTCAATGGCTGAGGGAGTCTTTACTTTGGGGCAGCACAGGTGAATGCGGAGTTGGGCAAGTTGCCATTGAGTGTTATACGTGAGATGGAGTGGAGAGGCCAGCGGTGGTGACTGGAGTTTACGGAGCAAGTCGGCATAGTGAGGTACAAAGGAGGATTCCAGAAAGCATGGGCAAAATTTGAAGTAAACCTGCACGTAGAATAGATGGTGCCGATGGAAAAAGTTTGTAGATTTGTGGTCACACAATGAAAAAAACATAAAGCTCTTTGTTATCTACTGCAAGATTACGGTTGTTGTGGGGGATGATTGAATCAGAATCTTTATACTGGAGGAATCTGATGAGCTATAAATACAATTTTCACAGATGTCCAGTAGATTGATCGTACTTTACCTTGCTGGTCAGTGTTGGTTGAAGGTTGGGCAGCTAAGAACCGATTTAGTTATCGCTTGAAACTTAGCCATGGCTATACTCTTTGGTTCTTTCGGTAAAGTCACGTAGGTAGAAATAAAATTAAATTAAACAAATCACGACGTTTCGATCGCAACACAAGCGATCCTCATCAGGTGGAACACCCACAGCAAGAAAATGCTGAGGTAGGCTGTTATAATCAAACTCAGGTTCTGGTTTCAGTGCGCAGACCACTGCTAGCCCATTGATGGAATGTACACAACAAGAAAAGGCCATGCCTTGCCACTGTGCAGCGGATGGGTACAATATCAGCAAGTTCCATTCTTCAATTTCCACCCAATTCCCTTTAGATAAGTCGCACGTCATAGACATCACTGCAGACAAGGTGCTGTGACCTTCACACCGTAAAAGTCCAACTGAATATACTCTCCACGCAAAGATGAATTCATCTCGTGTTGGATGTGCCACATTACACAGCTGATGTCTACACTGCAAGATAATGCACATACTTGTTTTGTGCTGTCACCTTCAAGTTGGGAGGATTTAATGGCACATACTGGAACACTGGTGGCTGCGGAGGCCGAGGATGGTGGAGCGCACACATTTGTGAAGCTTCCAAAAGGCGTCGAGTCGCCATCTCCTGGCCTGCCAGGTTATGGCTGCAGTTACTCCGCTTTCCTCCCACACGCTTTGGCCAAATATCTCAATATCAGACCAACAGAGCTTGGGAAATTGACGGCTCCATTTGAGCTTGCCTATCCGCCTGCGGTCTCCCATTGTGCCCCCTGGAGTGCGAAAAACCATGCGTGCTACAAATTATGCCCAGTTCATCCCACAGCGATTTGCGCGAATGACGCGCCCAACAAACTGAAACACGGCCGTCACCGAGGCGTCCCGCGCGGCCTGGGGAGGTGCGGTGCCTGCCACCCACCCACCCAGCAGGTGCGCGAGCAGTTCGAAGCGGTCAGAGCCAAAGTAGAGGTGCTGCTTCCCGTTCACGTGAGCCACGATGGCGGGCATCCCAAATGCCTGCAGCCACACGCATGGTCAGACATGAACAGTGGCGAGTGCTCGTTCAGGCTTGCGCTCTGCACGTTTCACGCGGGCACTTAAAGCTATGCATGCGTACGTGCGTACGTACGTACGTACGCACAGGGGTACACCACAACGGAGGTTTTTTTTTTTCGGGTCGATCGCGGAATTATAAACGTGTCGTGAAACACGCCACCGCCCGACATGCACAGAAAACACACCAATTCGTTACGAGCTCAGCACACCCGGTGTGTTGAAGAGTAAGCCCAGCACCACATTTACAATTCAAGTACCGTTAACGTTTCGCCGGTAACTGCGACCAGCCTCGTCGGGCAACAGTCACAGCTGTGGAGAAATCGTCTCGTTTCAGGTCTTAAGAGGGTAAAATGTGTCACTTTTGAGCCAATCAGGTGCAAAGACCAGAGGGGAAGGGGGTTAACGTATTCAGTTGCACCCCAGTTTGCACATCACACCTGAGACCTGAACGCGTGACGCTACATTCCCCACGAGTTTCTCTGCACGTATAATATGCCCGATTAGCCCACACCAATGCAGATGCACCATACAACTCATTGGTGAGCGAGTGGCCGGTTTAAATAGAACACCTTCAATAAATTATGCTGCCACTTAATAGTTGCTGCTTCAGTTTAAAAATGAAACGGTCATTCAACATTAAGTGACGCTGACATCGCTCTGTTTGTGCCAGGCCACATGCAGTGACACACTCTCTGGAAGGTCATGAGACAGATCCAGGTGTTTTGAGTTAACCGACTTATATTCCTTGCAAATGCACCACCTGTGCTGCCCACTCTGCCAATGGTTCTTTATTTTAGTCACCGGGCACTTTGCTTCTGTTGCTGAAAGGTGGCTGCTGCCAACTGCCAGAGAAAACATCTTCCATAGGCTGTCCAGAGATGGCTTGTAATTTCTCCCACTGGATCAACATCAATAATGAAGATGAGCGCATGCTAGAACTTAAAGAGTATGGGAATACGCTGGAAAATAACCCCTTGTGAGGTTTAAACTTGATTTGAAGCTTTCGTGACTGCAGGAAGTACTCTTTGGTTCTTTCGGTAAAGTCACGTAGAAAGAAAATAAAATTAATAATAGATTAGGACGTTTCGATTGCAACACAAGCAACCGTCATCAGATGTCAATGAATGCAAGCTCGGAGAGAGACACATAGAGAGAGAGACAAACACAGACACGGAGAGAGACACATACACAGAGAGAGACAAACACAGACATGGAGACACATATACAGAGAGAGACAAACACAGACACGGAGAGAGACACATATACAGAAAGAGACAGACACGGAGAGAGACACATACAGAGAGAGACAAACACAGACACGGAGAGAGACACATACAGAGAGAGACAAATACAGACACGGAGAGAGACACATACACAGAGAGACAGAGAGAGACAAACACAGACACGGAGAGAGACATACACAGAGAGAGAGAAACACAGACACGGAGAGACACACATACAGAGAGAGAGAGACAAACACAGACATGGAGAGAGACATACACAGAGAGACACAGAGAGAGACAAACACACATGGAGGAGAGACACATGGAGGAGAACCACATGGGGGAGAGACACAGACACACGCAGAGAGATACACACACAGAGAAACAACATCTCTGTGACGAGGCATTATATATAGAGAGGGGGTGGGGGGTAGAGAAATGAGCATGTCAATGAGAGTGGCAGGGGGAGAGAAATTGGAAGTTGACAAATCTAGTCAAATTTAGAGAGCGGCAGGGGGTAGAGAAGTTGGAAGTTTGAGAAGACAAACTTAGTAAACTTAGAAATGTAATGCAATGCAACACAGCTCCGAGCTTGCATTCATTCACAGCTGATGACGCTTGCTTGTGTTGCAATCGAAACGTCGTATTCTATTATTAATTTTATTTCTACGAGACTTTACCGAAAGAACCAAAGAGTAATTCCTGCAGTCGCGAAAGCTTCAAATCAAGTTTGAACCACCTCTACAGGGAGGATTTCCACACAACTCATACTTAAACTTCAAATTTAGCAATCTTTGGAAGAGCATAATCAACCAGGTAAAGTGTTAACTGTTGTGTTAGCCGACTCTCTGTGTTGCATTGCATTACACTGCTAAGTTTACTCGGTTTGTTTTCTCAAACTTCAAATTTCTCTCCCCCTGCCGCTCTCATTGACATGCTCATTTCTCTGTCCCCCCCCCCCCCCTCTCTATATATAATGCCTCGTCACAGAGGCGTTGTTTCTCTGTCTCTGGACGCGTCTCTCTCTGCATGTCTCTCTCTGTGTCTCTCTCTGTGTCTCTCTCTGTCTCTCCCTCATGTGTGTCTCTCTCTCTGTCTCTCTCTGTCTCTCTCTGTGTATGTGTCTCTCTATGTGTCTCTATGTCTCTCCCCCATGTGTCTCTCTCTCTGTCTCTCTACTGTTTCTCCCGCATTTGTCTCTCTCTCTTGTGTCTCTCTCCGTGTCTGTGTTTGTCTCTCTCTGTATATGTCTCTCTCTGTATATGTGCCTCTCTCCGTGTCTGTGTTTGTCTCTCTCTGTGTCTCTCTCTGTGTCTCTCTCTCTGTGTATGTGTCTCTCTCCGTGTCTGTGTTTGTCTCTCTCTGTATGTCTCTCTCCGTGTCTGTTTGTCTCTCTCTGTATGTCTCTCTCTGTGTCTCTCTCCGTGTCTGTGTTTGTCTCTCTCTGTCTCTCTCCGTGTCTGGGTTTGTCTCTCTGTGTATGTGTCTCTCTCCGTGTCTGTGTTTGTCTCTCTCTGTGTCTCTCTCTGTGTCTCTCTCTCTGTGTATGTGTCTCTCTCCGTGTCTGTGTTTGTCTCTCTCTCTGTATGTGTCTCTCTCCGAGCTTGCATTCATTCACACCTGATGACGGTTGCTTGGCGAAACGTCCTATTCTATTATTGATTTTATTTCTTGAGGTTTGTAGTGCTGGGGGTGTAAAGGCCGAGGGGGTACATTTATGACAGTGGAATATTCTGACGACGTGGAATTTTTTTTTTTTAATTTGTGCGATGCCCATGTGAACACTCGTGCGGCATATATTGTGCAGTCATGCGTAAACACGGGTTCAGAAAAGCAACATGTGCCAGGGGATGCAGACGAGACAGGATGGTGCTGGCTGCTCCGCTCGGGATGCACCCTGCCGATAGCCAGTCCATGCCGCCTCGATTCTCGCCCCATCTACGCCTCCCACGTCACACCCTTTCACGTTAAGAGAGTCAAGGGAGCGGGCATTTGGCTGCTATGCATTTCCACGTGATAAGCCGCTTCTCGTTGAGCTATTATTTGTGGCCCGGTCGCTTCTGAAGAAGAGATGTTCAGTGCTCAATGGGCCTTACCTGGTAAAATAAAACTCGTTTAGGGGCTGTCCATAAATGTCACGCGATTTTGGCCGATTTTTGACCATATTTCCATTTTGACAATAAAACATGCTTCAAATCACTTTAAACTAAAACTATTGTCATTGTAGTACTATTTAATGTGGTGCTGCACTCTGATGTTGTAGGAGAAAACGTATTAAAAATAGGAGGCGTTTAAAAGCTGAAAATATTCAACGTCTAACTAAAACTGCAGATGTTCAGAATATTATGGTGAAATTCTCATAATTCTAAAATATTAAAAGTATATTCTTGGTTCTTTCGGTAAAGTCATGTGAGCCTACTGAATTATAACAATGATCTGCCACGGCCGAGGTGTTGGTCCTACCGTGTTTTAGGTCTGCTTTGTGTTCACGAATTCGTCTCCCCCCTCCTCTTTTCCGAACATAGATGGACTCGTCCATCTGAACAAACTGTCAAATCGCTCTCCGTGATGCTAACGTTAAAAATAACTGCCACTTTATTCAAATTTTCTTGTTGTGGTTTTCACACCTGATGATGATTGCTTGTGTTGCAGTCGAAAGGTCGTGAGAATTGTATTGTTTTACATTTTTATTATTTTATTGCTTCACTTCTACGTGACTTTACCGAAAGAACCAAGAATATGAATCCCTGCGGTCACGAAAGCTTTAAATAAAAATATTAAAAGTAATTATAACTATTAAAAAATACTTTAAACTTTGTAGTAGAACGAAGCCAAATGGAGAGTACAATTATAACAATCACATATTCATTTGACAGAATGAAAAGCCCTGGTAGAATCATTCGAATCAAAATGTTCAATAACAATCATTCAAAAATTTTACAAAATGCTCCTTTATGGAATAAATAAAAGATGACCTTAGTATTTTTTTTATAATCAAATAGTTAATCATGAAAATGAATCAAAATTAGTGTTATAACAATTTGATTTCATTAGTATCTATTAAAAGTTGCGCATTTTGATGTGACGTCACATTTCTCAAACCCACCCAAGCCCCCTCGTCACACATCGTCACAAATGTCTGACCCCCCTCCCCCCCTCCCCCCCGGTGCGTGACGTCATTTATGGGCGGCCCCTTAGTTTCAGACACGGTCCAGTGGTAGCGAATTTGCTGCTTGCTATCCCATAAGAGGTGTTTTGGGTAAGATAGCGTAAATATAAATGTGGCATTAAACCCGCCACCATCCGACACAGCCGATTATTAATGTTTGTCACGTAAACAAAAACGTGCCAATTCGTTACCAGTTCAGCACACCGGTGAGAGTAAATCCAAAATATTTACAATGCGGGTTTACTCTCCAACACACCGGTGCGACAATCCTTACTAATCGGCTGTGTCGGGTAGTGGCGGGTTTAACGACGCATTTGTATTTACGCGATTTATCCCGCAAAAAAAACTCTTATGGTTATTGGTCGCAAAAGCCTACCACAGTAAAACCTCGTTATTTCGGTATTTGATCATTCGCAATTGGGGATAATTCGGCACGGCTGCGCTGTCGGTACATACACACAGTATTAGTAATTCGGCACGCGCCGAAATGCCGTACCGAATGGTGCAATTTCGGCATACACGTGGAGCGACGTTGCGTCTCGAGCAAAACAACGGCTCAGCCTAGTGGCGGCGCGCGTGGTGAGCGTTAGTGCAGACCCGTTGCTTCGGACTTGACCTTGTTTAAGCACTTGGTGCAAGCCAACCCTCTCAGAAATGTCGTCTACACCTACATCAAGGAGTCATAGAAAGGGACCGAAGAATAAATCCCTTATTTACGCGATCTAACCCAAAAAAAACAAACTGTATTATGGATGATATTGGTCGCGAAAGCCTACGTTTTTAAACAATACATCCCTGAGTCTGCGAGACAAATCCAAAGTTTTGGATAGAATTGATGCAGGTGTGTCAATGCTCCTGCAGTGCTGGTTACTGATGGTGTTACAGTAAAACCTTGGATTGCGAGTAACTTGGTCTGCGAGTGTTTTGCAAGACGAGCAAAAATTGTAATTAAATATTAATTTGATAAACGAGCGAGGGTCTTGCAATACGAGCAGTGTACGTATACGCTTTGTCTGCCGAGTGTAATGTGATCACAACTGATTAACGAGTGCTTTGATATACGAGTGCTTTGGATTACAAACACGTTTCCGGAACGAATTATGCTCCTCGCAGTCCCAAGGTTTTATTGTAACTTTTTTTGGACGACAAATTTTGATTTTTTTTTTATTGGGGCAGGAAGGAATGGCAAGTACCATTTTACATAATTGCTGTTTGTTGCAGAGGTTCACTGTTTGAATCCGGAAGGCCTTCCAAAGCTAATGCTGCAGGTGTATTAACCATAAAATAATGCATGCCGTCAGGCCTGACGGTGGACGTTACGGATACGGGGACGCCATTCAAAGAAAGATTAGGCTTTCGTGTGCCAGTGTCATGGTCCAAAAATGACTCGAAAATAAATTAGGAGACGCACACAGCAATTGTCGCCTCTTAGTGCCAAACTTAGTAGGACCTTCTTGAAAGTCTTGAGGCTCACCGAGGCGTTCCTGAGTAAACAACACGCCGGGTGAATGATAATTTAATGGGCAAGGATGCAATAAACGAACCAGAAGCTTAATGCGGTGTTCACTGAACGTAGAAATGTCAGTTACTATACACGGCGGCGCATGACGAATCCATTGTGTGCTACAGGCGAGCAAAGCGGCAACCGGTGAGTGGCTCTTGAGTGGCTCTTGACCTCGGTGGATTTTGTGTTTTGCCCTCATACGTGGACTCTGTCTGGGTACTCATCTTTTAAACAAATTTGTTCATCTAAAACGATATTGCAATAGTGCTATCCACATCGTCTGTAGGCAATACGTTGCTACCTTGCGTCACAGAAAAATCTCTGGAAGATGACATCAAAGAACTACTTCAAGACATCCACAAACACCATGGAACCCAATATCAGTCACGTGAATGTATACAAGTCCACTCACTACGCTGTGCCAAGCAAACCAAATTCAACAACGGCAACACTTTTTTTTCCTTAGTTCCCACGCATCACCTGCGATGGTGGTGTAGGCCAACTGCTGTCCGATGCGGGCAGGGCATCATCAGCCATGCCGAATCTCCCGGCTGTCTCTGCTCACAAAATGTTTAATATCGACGACCAATGCAACTTCCAAACGGCCATTACAGCAGCCATGGGGGGGGGGGGGGGGGGGGGGGAGGGGGCGGCTACGTGTATGAAGCGCTGTGAAACATTGGGACTGTGTTGACTGTGGACGGATCCCCGGAGGAGCACAAGCACCACCTGCTTAAGCGAGAAGTTACGAGGAGGCATGAGCACTGACCGCGTGCTGCATGAGATCTTCGGTTGTGCTCTTCAGCCGGTCCTTCACCGGCTGTGACGTCGCCATGGCGAGCAGCTTCTGGATGAGCTCTTCCTGTAGCCCAGCCCGTGCGGCAGCCTGGTTGAACAGGAGGAGACGTTATTGGGAGTAGGCGACAAAGCAACACAACGTTCGCCGAAATTGAAACTCGTTACAATCTCAAATGTCATTGCTGTCAATGCAAATGTGGAAAGGACTCAATTGTCGGGAATCACGAGTGTCTGATCGTGCAGGTGGCAATCACTGCATATGCAATTGCACAGGAAGCATCAATGGAGCATAAAAGTACAGGACAACATCTTCCTGCACTGACCTGCACTGCAACAACAACAACCGCCATTCGCCACTAAGTGGCAGTGACGTCAACAAGACGCTTGTGCCAGGCCATGTGCACCTTGAGGCCACGTGAAGTGTCGAACGCTCGCTGGCAGGTCACGGGGCAGACCCAGATGACTGAGATGACTGGCTGATGCACCACCTGTGCCCCCTACTGTGTCAACTTGCTGTGCTTTAGCCACCCGGCGCTCCGCTCGTTGTTGTGAGCGTCGCTCCTCCGCCCTCCGATGGTGTTGGAGGGCGACTGCCTCCAACTGCCCAGTAGTTTCCTTCACGAGCCTCCTCCACAGAGGCCGATCTTGACACCGCTGGTACCAGTCATCGGCAAGTCTACTCAGCTCCACGTCCTCCCGTACCACATCACTCCATCTCTTCTCTAGCCCGTGCCGCGCCCGTTTAGCCCCCTCGATCCGGCCGAACAAAAGCTGCTTAGGCATGCGGTGGCTGGGCATGCGGGCTACATGACCCAGCCAACGCAGCCTTGCCTGCCGGAGGAGCTCACCGATGGGACTTTGCCCAGATCTTTCAAGGATTTGTGAGCTCCTCACACAATCCAGCCTGGTTAAACCCAGGATGGATCGTAGGCAGGCCAGCTTAAATGTTTCTAACCAATGAAGATGCTCCATTAGGGGGGTCCACCTCCAATGCACGGTTGTCACCCATTCAACCACTGTTCAAGGCTCAAGACCTGCTCAGCTTAAGATCTCGTACATTCCAGGAGATTTTCTTTTCACGGGTAATTGTTTGAGTTTAACCATGCTTGCTTTCAGAAATGAACTGAACTGTTGTGAATGTCGGTGCAGGTGGCAATCGTGTGGGGGGAGATGAGGTTTGTGAGGTGAAAAGGTAATTATGGTGGGGAAAGAGGGGAGGTTATTTAATTGATGGCAAGGGCGAAATTAAGCTCTTTGCGTTGGTTTGAAGGGGAGCATCTCGTGGATTCAGGCCTAGGCTGCTGGTGAATGTGACCGAGTGTGAGTACAAACCCAGAGTAATATTGTACATGCACAGTCGTTGACTTACGAACACCGGCACTTACGAACTAGCTTCCATGAAATATATATTTGTTTTAACATATTGACTTAAAACGCGAACTGGCAAATCGAACAGTGGAACTGTTTTGTTCAGCTGAGCGATCCTCCTTGAGATGTAATGAGTAAGCCTCACGTTGGGAGTGAGTGTTTTGTGCGAGTACATTGTGTGTGTGTGTGTGGGGAGCAGTAGTGTAGTGGTTAGCGCGCTGTGCTAGGAAAGCGGCAACCCAGGTTCAATTCCCGCTTACGGCCAACACTAGTGACGATTATCTGAACGGGTCCTGGGTCTCCCCTAGGTCAACTCAGCCTCAAATGAGTACCTGGTGTAGTGTGTAAACATTGCCACGAGGGAGACAAAGGCAGCCGGGCGTGGTGCTGGCCACCCAATCCCTCGTGTGCCGTGCCGGCCTTCATTGGTGCTACTCGCTAACAGCACTTGTCCCAACAGTCTGTTAAGGCTATGCAGGGGGATCTTTGTCTTGCATAGACCAAGAGTAATACAGTATTGTAGTAGGATGGTAATAAAGTGTTCAAGTAATCTGTACACAATAGCAAAAAACACAATTTAAAAACTATTTTCATTTTGTTCATCAAAAAGCCAGTTTCAGATAAGATCTAAAGCAACTTACAGCTGCAATACTCTCAGGTAAGGTGATGTCTTCATCCTACAAAACACAAAACAAATGTAAATGTTAAGTTATGCATGTTAGTTTGTCCCATAACGAATTACTATTATCAATACAATCTCGACACTCTTCACGTGTAAGGGCTACCACCAGTCATGCAGAACCAATCATGTCCAGTTCTGCCAATGCCTCCCATAATATAGAGATCAACTATGAAGAGATATCCATTTTAAATGGTGCAGCACCTGCAGTGTCGTCGTAACGGACTTGCTGTGGAATTTTGACTTTTAAAAAGGAAACGTAACTTCATCACGGCTGAATATTCTGTGGATGCCCAGAAGCTCGGGAATATTTAACATTTGTTGAATTGTTTTGTAAATAGCCCAAGGCAACCTAGAGATAATTCTACACGTATCACAAGGGATGCCACAAGCTGGCCTGAGCAGCTGTTGTTAGTCTTTATCACAAGGTGTAAATAACGGTTCAGCATTTTCCTTTCTGCTTACACTACTTGTTCGTTAAACCCCGACCCAATCCTGCACCCTGGGCATACTGACCATCCCACGGGCAGACTGCGTTTATCTTACTGGTGCACTCACACAGGACTATAAAACAGAATACACTTTGAAATCATGAAAAAATCACCAAGATTCAAGATCCAACTTTTGCAAAACTGCCTGCTCTAAGCACCACCTGTACGAATACGCAATACTCCCCCCCCCCCATTGCATGCTTTCAAAGCAGCCATTGGGGATGATGCGAGGCGTAGGGGTCTGCTTCATTATCAGCCACAATCCACAACTGGCTCCTACTTGGTAAGAATCCATCTAGCACTTACACACTAGGCCATTTAATTGATCCATTGCTTAGTAGATGTCCTCTTGGGTACGTTCCCCAACTTGGCTGCCATTCCGTCATTATCCTTGACCAACATCCACCATCGTCCCTTCCCCCAATGGGAGTGCAGCCCGAAACACAGTGTCTGCATCACCCGTGACCAAATGCGCATCCACAGCTGCCGGGATGCCTCCTCCAGTTGAGCAGGGCACTCCATGTCCACAGCCGTGAGAAACCGCTGGGCTGCCAGCGAGCCTGCACGCAGCACGGGCCAGGGTGCAGAGAGGATTAAGTCCACGGCTCAAGCAGCAGACGTGCCACCACAGGGCAAAGGGGTGACAGCTTCAAGTTGGTACAGGAACATAACGGTGTACAGAACAAAGCTATTTTTTATTTGACCAGGCAAGGCCCCTCACTAAGCTATGTAGCTCTATTTCAGAAGCGACCTGGCCATCACAAATGATAGCCGATAGCTGCCAAATACTCTTAAAACGCACATTGGTTTGAAATGTGAAGGAAAAACCGGAGGACCCGGGAAAAATCCACGCGACTACAGGGCGACACCGCAAACTCCACATATACAGGTGTCAGGGTCGGTATCGAACCCACGACCTCGTGTGTACCAGGCGAGGTAGTTAACATCTCACCACTGTGGTGGCACCCCAAGTATGAGCTGAAGCTTTCAATCATAAATCAATCAAGTGTTGTTGTGAATAAGTTCTGGGTTTGCTGCGTCGGAACACTTTACATTGAAGGGTGCCAATTGACCTCAAAATCTTGTAAAACGATGCGAAGTGAAGACAAATTTCACGTAAACAAATTACACAAATGTTATCAATTCGGGCGCATTCAAAATACATTTTCGAATTTTCAAATAATATTGAGAGCACCTCGGACACACACGTATCACACGAGAGGGGAGTATCTGACACGGTGTGTATTTGATGTATCACGGTTCATGTAAAAATTATGTGAGGAGTCCCGAGACATTTTTTGATTATACATATAGTTTGATTCATCTTAGAAAGCCTCACTTGAAAACAATTTTAATGAGAAACCTAATTTGGATACACAGGTTTCCCTCACTTCATGCAGTAGATGCATAAAAAAAACTAAACTAAAAATGAAACAGTTTTTTTTTATTTTACGAGGTAAGAGCTAGATAGCTCATTTTCAGAACTGACCTGGCCACAAATGATAGCTCAACGAAGTTGTTTATCATGTGGACTTTATACGAGTCAAATACTCTTAAAACACATTTATAAATGTGGAGGGAGAAAAATCCACGTGACCACGGGGAGAACACGCAAACTCCAAATATGCAGGCGTCAGGGTCGGGATCCAACCCACGACCTCCTGTATACCGGGCGAGGTAGTCAACATCTCCTAGCCACCGTGGCACTCGAGCAGGGCCCACAGAGAACAACTGCACAAGACAGCTGTCTGCCGAGTAGCACATACAGTACACACAATGTTGTCCCACGTCTGACTGCATAGCTGCATGTGTAGTGGCCTTATTGACGTCGGAGACTGTTCATTTGAGGCAGCACGTATTTATTACAGACGTTTCAATTACAGTGGCGAAGCTGATACTTGAAGAGGTAGCGGCCTCTTCGCCCGCGCTCTACAGAGGGAACGTTCCCCGAGCTTTAGCCCTCGCCAGCTCCCTGGTTCCCTCTATCCCGGTCCTCTCTCAGGAGGCTGTCTGACCTGGCCCAGGTCCCGACCACCAGCCACACGAGTCCGGCCCTCGGAAGGACATCGGGCCTCTCGGCTCCGGTGTCGCACCCCCTGGCTTGCCTTGCCCGGCCCTCAAAAGGACAGCGGGCCAAAGGAGTTCCAGGGTCTGGCTAGTCGCTCTTCTTTCTTCACTGGCCCTTCATCTTGACTTGAGTCGAACTGCCCCTCAGCTCCCCGGGTTCCAACTTTTATACTGTCCCTCGCTGAGGGGCGGGGCTGGGAGGGATCACAGCGTCCCCCCACAGCCCCCTCAGGGTGGTGGCCGTAGCGGACGTGGTTGTGGCCACCGCCCAACAACCGCGTGTCACCCTCCCGTAACACCTCTACACATGCGCGTGAATTCAAACTGCAAGTGGCGAATTTTGGGTAGAGATACGTTCTCCACATACATGCGCGGAAATCGCAGGAACCGAACCCGCATAAAGCGAGGGAAACCCGCGTTCTTGATTCCTTCGGTGTTTTTTTTCTATTCATGTGGAAGATAACCAGTGGCCAGGATATATAAAAAAAAAATCCCAGAGGTTAGCACAGTTGCTGTACTGCCGCCTCTAATCATCTGGTTTCCCCGCAGCTATGCAGATGGTTGACTCGCAAGCCACGTGTAAAAAAGAAAACACGTGTGTCAAAAGGCTGCCAAACACACCCCACCTTTCTGGAACATGGCTTCAGCAGGATTCCTGGGTAAGGCAATGGGCAGTTGGAAGTAGTCCCTGAGACGTTCCAGGTCCTTGGCCATGTACCGCGCCTTGTTTGGCACCAAACCCGGTGGCTTGTTTCCTGCCAAGGGACACGCGCAGTGTGTCAATGACCACTAAATTAAGCATCATTCATTCAAGGTAATAAATAGGTAATATTTAAAAATACTTTTTTTTTTAAAACATGCTCTTAATGAAATGTACCGTACTGGTAGTGACAGAACTCCACGACTCCAGGAAGTGGCCCAGAAGCTTGGCCACAACGTAAGGGGGACCCGTGGGCAATTACAGCCAACGTGAGTTGAACGTGGACAATTAGACCCAAGCCGAAACATTACATATAAGAAATAATGTTTAAAAATATTTTTATTTAATTTTTAATGCTAGAATATAGTATTGTCATCAGTATGACATAAGTATACCAAGTTTACAGTCGATGCCACATTGGGAAGTGGGTTCAAATTGAGTTACAAGATTTGAGGATACAACAACAGACAGAGTGAGTTAATAGAAAGCGTGTAAAAATAACAGAATGTGCAGTGACGGGGGGTGAGAAGCGGATGAAACATTACGAGCACGTGTAAAAAAAAATATATTTAATCAATATTAGATCTTGGCATTAACATCAAACGATCCATCTCCGTTCGGGTTGGCACCCGTCTTGTGTTTGACCCGGACAGCCCAGGCTTTGGCGTCTGTTCAGGCGCCAGGGACACACTTGCGTCGAGATCTGGTACTGCTATAGTGCTTAAACTGTATTGAAATGTACCGCGTGGATTTAATAGACGCAGGCTGACTGTAACGTTGGGTGAACGTCGCATGTTTACTGGGAAGCTTTATGCGGCGGTAAGGTCGGGGTAAGGAATTTATGGGTAGGGGATAAGATAAGCACGAGGCCTGGGGTCAGGACACACTGATTATCAGGCTTAGGGGTTGGGTAAGGCTCGCCAAGGTGATACAGTACACATGGGTATGGTTTGTGCTAGTACTGCACATGCATTGATATGCAAGTCGGTATGCCTTTCAATGGTACTGTACTTAGAAATCCTCACATATATGCAAGTACATGCGTGTTACTGTACCTGCACCCCTGTTACTGTACACGCGCCTTCACCCGTTACTGTACACGCGTCTGTACCACTGTGTGACTATACACGTGCATGTACCCCTGTTACTGTACACCCCTGTTACTGTACACGTGTCTGTACCACTGTGTGACTATACATGTGCATGTACTCCTGTTACTGTACACGTGTCTGTACCACTGTGTGACTATACATGTGCATGCACCACTGTCACTGTACACGTGTCTGTACCACTGTGTGACTATACATGTGCATGCACCACTGTCACTGTGCACGTGTCTGTACCACGGTGTGACTATACACGTGCATGCACCACTGTCACTGTACACGTGTCTGTACCACGGTGTGACTATACACGTGCATGCACCACTGTTACTGTACACCCCTGTTACTGTACACGTGTCTGTACCACTGTATGACTATACACGTGCATGCACCACTGTATGACTATACACGTGCGTGTACCCGTTACTGTACACGCGTCTGCGCTCGTGTTACTGTACCTGCAGCCGTGTTACTGTACACGAGCCCGCATCACTGCTACTGTACACGGGCCTGCACGCGTGTATTACTGTACACGCGTCTGCACACCTCTGTCACTGCACACGCCTGTCACTGCACACGCCTGTCACTGCACACGCCTGTCACTGCACACGCCTGTCACTGCACACGCCTGTCACTGCACACGCCTGTCACTGCACACGCCTGTCACTGCACACGCCTGTCACTGCACACGCCTGTCACTGCACACGCCTGTCACTGCACACGCCTGTCACCGCACACGCGTGTCACCGCACACGCGTGTCACCGTACACGTGTGCACCCCCTGTGTTGTTTGATATGTTTGTGTGTAGTGGCTCGTATGGCACGACCACGATGCATGACGTGCGCGTGTGAACGCCGCGGGGGGGGGGGGGGGGGAGATACGTAAACAGCTGTTGTCCTAATTGCAATTCTTCGTCCCCGTCACGTGAATGTGGAATTTCCACCCGCTTGCTTGTCAAGGCGTGATTTTGAGCTCAAGTGCCCTCTCGGTTGGACGAGACGGCACTTCGCCACATTGTTGGTGGTGTTGGTGTTGTTGGTGATGGTGGTGGTGTTGTTGGTGTTGTTGGTGATGGTGGTGTTGATGTTGGTGGTGTTGTTGGTGGTGATGTTGATGGTGGTGTTGGTGGTGGTGTTGTTGGTGTTGATGATGATGTTGGTGGTGGTGTTGTTGGTGGTGTTGGTGGTGGTGTTGGTGGTGGTGTTGGTGTTGATGTTGGTGTTGGTGCGAGACGTTAAAGTTTCCTACCCGATGCTGCCATGACGCCGCCCAGGAAGGCTGGCCGTAGGCGGACATCGATGTTCCACACACTCCTGTACCTGCACAGAATCTGCACACACACACAAAGACAAAGATCCCCCATATAGCCTGTAACAGACTGTAGGGGCAAGTGCTGTTAGCGAGCAGCACCTATGAAGGCCGGAACGGTACACGAGGGAGTGGGTGGCCAGCACCACGCCCGACCGCCTTTGTCTCCCTAGTGGCGATATTTACACACCGCACCAGGTACTCATTTGAGGCTGAGTCGACCTAGGGAAGGCCCGGGACCGGTTCAGATAATCGTCACCGGTGTTGGCCGTGAGCGGGAATCGAACCCGGGTCGCCAGGTTCATAGCGCAGCACAGCGCTAACCGCTACACTACCGCACACACACACAGCCGCAGCAGCAGCTCAGGACGAGGAGAAGACGACTCGCCCATGATCGCGCTCGAGAGGGGCACTCGGCAGCGAGGCGAGGCCTGGCCGAGGCTCCTCGGGGAGCGATCCGGCTGTGGAAGTGGTCACCTCGAAGCCCAGCCACGAGTATGGCGAGACGACGTCGTAGAAAATCTCCACGAGTCGCCGGGACATGGTGGTGATGGTGGTGGTGATGGTGGTGAGTGTCCGTGTCCGTGTGAGTGTCCGCGCTCAGCTCGACTCCTCTCCCCGGGGCCGCGCGTGAGGGTCGCGGGCTTCGCGGTGAGGTCACGGCTCCTCCCCCGCGGAGGGCAGTGACCCCCCCCCCTCACCCCCCCTGCCACACCCCCCCCCTCACCCCCCCTCACCCCCCCTCACCCCCCCCCTCACCCCCCCCTCACCCCCCCCTTTCACCCTCCCTTCACCCCCCCCTTCACCCCCCCTTCACCCCCCCCTTCACCCCCCCCTTCACCCCCCCTCACCCCCCCTCACCTCCCCCTCACCCCCCCCCCTCACCTCCCCCTCACCCCCCCCCTTACCCCCCCTTACCCCTCCCGCCACACCCCCCTTACCCCCCCCCTTACCCCCCCCCTTACCCCCCCTCACCCCCCGCCACCCGCCCCTCACCCCCCGCCACCCCCCGCAAGGAAGAGAGATTCCCCAAAATCTGATGGCGAAGTTGGCGTGGCAGCGAACAGAACCCACCCCAACGCCTTCAAGCTACAGGGGAAGTATTACAACTGACACCCCCCCCCCCCCCCCAAAGCGCGGGGCCCGAGGCGAACGCCCCGATTCGATACGGGGGCGAGATGTTAACCATCTCGCCCCCTCAGGGTTCTGCTTTGGATAGTCTGGATGATTCCTTTGTGAATTATTTGTTGCCGTACGTGGGAGCAAACACGTGTAGAACAACTCAACCTGTACCGTTTAGAACCTATTTGCTGTACTGCAACTTGTTGCCTCTGCAGGTTTGGTGGCTCGTGCATGATTAGAAAGATCTTTGTGGAAAATCCCTCCACCAACCCATCCTGAGAGTTATTGTTGGATAACAGGTCGCGAGATGTTGACTACCTCGCCTGGCCTACAGGAGGTCGTGGGTTCGATCCCGACCCTGACGCCTGATAGATATTTGGAGTTAGCGTCTCTCTCTCATCATCATCACGGTGGCTATGAGATGTTGACTACCTCGCCAGGTTTACAGGAGGTCGTGGGTTCGATCACGACTCTGACGCCTGCTGCTGTATATTTGGAGGTTGCATGTCTCTCTCTCTCTCATCATCATCACGGTGGCTAGGAGATGTTGACTACCTCGCTTGGTCTACAGGAGGTCGTGGGTTCGATCACGACCCTGACGCCTGCTGCTGTAGATTTTGAGTTTGCGTGTCTCTCTCATCATCATCACGGTGGCTATGAGATGTTAACTACCTCGCCTGGCCTACAGGAGGTCGTGGGTTCGATCACGACCCTGACGCCTGCTGCTGCTGTATATTTGGAGTTTGCGTGTCTCTCTCCCCGTGATCGCGGGGATTTCTCTCCGGGTCCTCCGGTTTTCCCCCTCCCCATCTAGAATCAACATCACGCGTTGAGAGTGTTTAATATTCACGTCAATAGCCACTTGGTTGAGCTATCATTTGTGATGGCCTCGTCACTTCTGCAAAAGAGCTATACAGCTCAGTGGGGCCTTACCTGGTCAAATACAAAACAATTTAGCAACAATTTTAGTTTATTTGCCGTACCCCAGGGACGGCTCTGCCTGGAGGAGAGCCCATTGCACCGAAATCAGAGTTGAAGGATTACGTTATTGGCGTGAGGCGGTTAGTATTAAATAGTTATTGTGTGAACTATGATTATTGAGTTACATGGTGTTTAATGAAGTACAGTAGTTCTTTTTGCGTGTGTTGTTGTGATTATCTATTGGTTATTATTTTAACACTTGTTTTCTCAAAAGAAAGTATGTTTTTATATATAGGTATCCTAAAGTATTTTAACATTCAGGCACCATAAAAAATGCAGAACCTAAAGTTAACGTTCATTATGTTTCCGTATATAGTTTTTCTAACTTAATTCTAAAATTGTTTGTACTGTTTCAATATGGCAGCAATACATTCAACAAATAAAATGTATTGTAAGAACACAGTTTTATTTTTAATCGAGATCGAAATTGTATCGGTCAATTCCAAAATCAGGAATTAATTTTGGATATGACTTCAAAACATCTTGGAATCGGCCATCCCTGTACCTTGCTGCGCCTGTTCGCAGTGTTTACGTCAAAGTATGCGATGGTGATGATGCCACTGCTGCTGCTGATTTGGCAGTAGTGCACAAATAACAAACCATAACGGGCGACGTTTTGATCAATATCCCAACACAGAGTGGCTCGAGAGACCGAGTGGATATATGATAATAGTTAGAGACTTCACTTTACAACATGGGGCCTGATAATGGTGCAATTTTATTTGTACCCATGATTAATAGTTTTAAAATCGGCGTATGGACACGCCGATGAGTAGTTTTCGAGTAACAGAAATACTCTGCGACCTCAATGTATTTACCATGAAATAAACGCGGTTATATTAAACAAATAATTCTAAAATGTTGCTGGCAAGCATATTGCATCAATGATGCACCCCTGGGTCCAAAACCCATGCAGTAGCCAAGAGACCAAGGCCCTACAGCGGATTACATTGCTGAAGCTTGCACGAGGGGTAGAGTGGATATATGGGAGGCAATGTCAAGGAATCAGAAACTTAATTCGGACTGGAGAAATCCAATGAGCGAATAAGCTCTTTTTTCACAGATGTCCAGTATAATCCGCGTCAGCAAGTTACAACAACTAACAGTGCAAAATGGAGAGAGAGGTAAGCGAGTCACTAAATATCAATAAATATTAATAAGTAATGCATACGTCCGATTTATCGGGCTTGGGTAGGGCAGTAAAGCAAAAACAGTCCCAGACCACAACAAGATAATACACGGTCCACACGTTAATGGCACATTAACTTTGAACTATTAATACACATTTCCATTTAAAGCTTTCGTGACTGCAAGGATTCATCTTCTTTGGTTCTTTCGGTAAAGTCACATAGAATGAGAATAAAATAATAAATTAATAAAATAAAATAACAAACAAAAATTCTCACGACGTTTCGGCCACAACACAAGTGGCCACTTGTGTACGTGACTTTACCGAAAGAACCAAAGAAGACATTAATACACATGGTAAGGATAAAAGTTAACATTTGAAAATGTGGCTGTATCCAGCAGTAATCTTCAGCTTTAGGATATTTTTTTGAGGAAGATTTTACGATATTCTTGGTTCTTTCGGTAAAGTCACGTAGAAGGGAGACAATAAAATAATAAAAGATTTACGATGTTAAGGGAAGTAAACGGGGTTGTTCCAAATTGCCAGCAATGGCCACAAATGAGAATATAAACCAAGCATATTTTGTGCTACCAAGTTGGTAGTTCTATTCTTGCACATGATGGCATTATGTTCAGGAGCTAAATGCCAATATCGAGGTCTGCTATCCACGAAAGGGCTTCAGGAGAGATTAACCCCCCACCCCCCTTCTCTTCGCACCTGATTGGCTCACAAGTGATGACATCACACTTATCCCCCGTCTATTTAAGACCGACACAGGAGGAGGATTTCACCACAACTGTGGCTGTCGCCTGATGAGGCTGGTTATCGTTACCGGCGAAACGTGGGTTTACTCTCCAACACACAACCGGTGTGCTGAACTAGTCACGAATTGGCATGTTTTCTTCACGTGATAAACCTCATTAATCGGCTGTGTCAGGTGGTGGCGGGTTTAACGATATATTTATATTTAGCAATATAACCCAAAAACATCTTGATGACTTCAGGAGAGAGTTTTTGTAGTTTCGCTGTTCGTTTAAGGAGCGCAGACTACAGTGGTTTGCTTTGTGGTCCATAGTTCGGGTTGTGATGGCCATATATTTATGTCTGCAGCGCCCTGTTGATGTTCTGATGGTGTCTGATGGTTACACCCAGTTTCTTAGATCAATGTCAAAGCCAGGAGGTGCGATGTCATGGTCTCCATTGAGGTGTTTATGTCTGGACGTGCACGCTGTTTGACTGTTCGCCGGCGTTCTTCCGGATCTCGGTGAGATTTTAGAATGCTGCAAGGACGATCCCTGAAGAGCGATCAGCTGTTGGAGTGTTGTGTCAATGTCCTCGAGGTGTGTGGGCTGTCCAGCAAGAGCTATGTCATCTCCATATGTGATTTTGCGTAATGACGTGCATGGCAGGTCACTCATGTGTATGTTAAATAGTGGTGGTGCCAGTACCAAGCCTTGAGGGAGGCCATTATTCGTAATTATTTTGTGGCTGTGTTTGTCAGCGAGGTGTAGTCTGGAAGTACAGTTTTGCTAAGCATCACATTGATTAGGTGTAGAGTAGAATGGCATCTGGTGGGTTTGGATAACTTCAGCAGCAGGCCATGATGCCAAACAGTGTCATAGGCACCAGAGACGATGATCGTTGCTGTGCCAGTTTTTCTGTTGATGCTGGCAACCAGTTTCATTCAGGGTCGTGAAGGCAACGATCTGTTTGCAGCAGCTGTGGCCAGTTGGAAATCTGGCTTGTTTGGGAGGACGTTAGGGGCTGATAATGGGGGAATGTCTAGCAAGCATGGCACATTCCATCAGCTTGCAGGTGGAGGACAAGAGGGATACTGGCCTGTAGCATGATGGGATATTCTTGAGGCTTTCTGTATTTCAGATTAATGATGACTCAGACTTGCTTCCATTAATTTGGGATTTTGCGTGTCCCGCGTATGATGGTGAAGAAGTGTATATGCCATTGTTGTCCACACAGTCCCGGATTCTTCAGCAGCTCAGGATGGAGTGAGTAAAGTCCAAGTCTGCAGTGATGTGTTCCCAACGTTTTCTTAATGCAGAGTTCAGGGAGTCAGCAGTGTGGTGCCCTTACCCTGGTCACTGGTTCTAATGAACTTTTTCAAGAGTTCTGTTTCTGGTTGCCAACATGGCGAAGAGCTTTTCCCGATGCCCCCTCGGGATATTGTCTTTTCCAGCAGATGTCAGAATTGTTATGAATTTGTCAAAGTTTTCAGGTTCTTCAATAGAGCTTCGGTTAGTTTTTTCGTAGCCGGTCCAGTTGGTCTTCTGAAAGTTACAATGCGCCCATGGTTTTAAGGTCATGACCACCGGTATCAGTAATCCAATCAATATGTGTGACTGCCGGCCTGTCTCGGATCTTTGGAGCTGTCCATTCTTGTCTTTTGAAATGAAGCGAAAGTCTGGGTTATTGTCCTTTTTCCATTGGGCTAAAAT